AAAAGTACTTTGAATAGATTTTTGACCATTGATAAAACTGTGTTCATCATCTGGAGAAAACCATCTGTAAAACGGTAGATATCAGATTTTAAGATTCGATTAAGAGAGTCATCATAGATCCTGCATTTACTATGCTTTTATATCTCATAACGAGGAAGCTCCTGTCCTACTTATTATCACCTTAAAGAAAGTGATGAGATCGTACGTAGAAGCAAGTGAAGAGAAGGAAGAATGTGCGTCGAATTTTATGCGAAAAAAGTAAAAGAGACTGCTAGGAATCAATCTGGCATAATTCGCCCGTATTCACAAACATTACTATGGGGTACACAGGATGACACACGAACCAATCACTCAACGCTATTAAACCTTTAAGCAAGTATCGTTTGTGAATACGAGCGTTATTCACCTGCTTCTTTGAATCTCCTGTTCTGTTGACGAAGCTCTTATTCCAAAACATAGAAGTGTCCAAAACGAACCAGCGAATTAAAAACCTGCGGACCTTGAAAAATATGTAAAACTAAGTTAACGGGTCCCACTTAAAAGAAAACGAAAGTTTAAAAACTTGAAAAATAAATTTGAAAAACTAGTACATATTAGGTAGGTAGGTATAAAGTCGTACACCGTCGGAGAATAAAATATACTGATCATTCTTATTTATAAGAACAAAATATGTTTCCTTATAATGATCAGGTACTAATACATATTAAAATGTTATTTGACTTGACTAGGTCCCAATCTTTTTTAATCATGTATCTATGAATAGAGAATTAGTACTAAATTATCAGCCCTACACTTTCTTTGTCGGCGAATTATTTAAAAATAAAACGATTTTTTCCTAGTTCGATAACCGTATTAACCGATTAGCACAATTTTTTATCTGAATTCATTGTAACTAGTCTATAAGAAGCGCTTTCAAGTGATAAACAATGATAACAAATTCCAGGCTAATCTAGAACTATGTAGATCATCGCGACACAATTTGTCAATCGCATTAAAACATTTTTTACTTTCGAAACAATAACAACTTTGGTAGGTACAGTCTCCGTCAAATAGTTCCTGACACCCAAAGTGGCCAAAAAGATGACAACACAACCATTATTCCATGTAACAAAGAGGTGTTGCGTGTAGTCAAAAGAACTACTTTGGGTGTCACGAACTACATATTTGGTGCTCACTGTACATGTTGCAAGTATAAGTTATGAATGCTTCTGTTGGAAAATAAATCTTCTACTTTTATTACAATGGGTTAGATCGTTATACCCACAGAATAAGTAGGTACTAGTATAGTAATACGTAAGATTTCATAATAATTTTAAGATACTATTTAGTAGTATTTAGGTATGTCCAATTCAAGATCGACTGCACCGATCTCTGAAAGTTAGTTTCGTCTACACTCCAAATAACAGAGTAACTTTAAAATGTTGGAAAAAAGTTACGGAAAAATAATGAAGGACATTTTTTAAGTAGCTAGGTACGGGGAAATTAATAAGGTTGAATTTGAATTAGAATTTCCATGTCAAAAACATTTTTTCTACGAGTTTAAAGACAAAACCACATGGCGACTTACAGTGCTAGTAGGACGAGTATTTTAAGATTGATTCACAAAAGTTTTAATTAATTAAAATAACAGAAATAACATCCATTTACTGAACGATCTGATTTCGTATATCACAAAACAAAAAATATTTAGGGGAACCCCCTACAATTCGGCTTATCAATAATTAAGATTTATATCATAATGGATTTACAGCTAGTAAAACATGATATGTGCATTACGGTAAGAAGATAAAACGATTATGTAGGTTACTTTTATCATACATTTAAATTATAATAATCTTAATCAATTTTGATATAATATGGGTCAATATATTTTTGTCTTGCATCAAGAATCAATATGTACTATACATTCAACATGTCGTATGTTAAATGAGTAACATAGACTTATGCAAAACGTATTGAAATTCGGTGATCTTAATTAAATAAATTGCACAATAGCTTGTAAATCTACCAAATTAAGTAGGTACCTGTCTAATTAAAAGTTACGACTAATACTCGTATGAATAACAACCAAACCATGTTATAACATTGTACTCGTACAATTGTAATTTCGTCGGCAATGTATACACAGTAGTGTATGGCGACATTATTACAACCAATGACGAGTTTATTGATTCCATGACACCTCAGATCCCGATTCTCAGAGTCCAGGAGTGACTTAGCCATCGCCTCTTGAATTGTCTTAATTGGCCAAACAGGAGTTGCAAGATTTATCTTCATCATCATTTCCGCCACAGGACATTCACTGCTGAACATAGGCCTTCCCCAATGATTTCCATATTGCCTGGTTAGTTATAGCGTCTTGCATTCAGTTAAAAAATCGAAAATTGAAGTAAAAATACTTATAACAATGTCTATAGGAATGACGTTAGTAAGATTATTGAAGTCCGCAGTGATGTCGATCTATCCCTATTTCTTAGCTCTGGCCAAGGAATCCACCCAAACCAACGATCAGATTTCATATGTCCTCACTATATTTTATCAACATTGTTAACCTGTGTTACTTGCCGCGACACAAGCACAGCTTAGTGCAGCAGCCGCTAGATAAACAAACTGTAATTCTTTTGTTGGCAAATAAAATACTTTTTACTTTTACTTTACTTTACTTACTTTACTTAATTACCGTGTTTAGACTAGTAATCATTATCTACTTTTTTACCGACTCATTTTACTATCTACTTAAAACAAAAAAGAAACTGGATAAGACACTAGGGTCTGCGAAACTCTACATTTGTGGATTCTAGCATGAATGCAAAAACTATCAAAAGTAAAATCTATCTATTCTTAACCGACTTCAAAAAAGGAGGAGGTTATATGTTCGGCTATATGTATTTTTTTATCTATGTATGTTCAGTGATTACTCCGTCAATTGTGGACCGATTTTCAAAATTCTTTTTTGTTCGATAGGGTACAATTCTGAGGTGGTCCCATTGCCACCAAGTCAGGGTCTGATGATGGGATCCTAGAGAAATCGAGGGCAAACCTCAAACTTTATAGGCACGTATTAAAGTTATTCAAGTTTATGCGTCTGATAGTCATCATCTAATGTTAATGAGGTGATGTGATGTGAAGGTCAAACTTCGTAAGTTAGGAGTTAGATGATACTTTTTAGTTGCCGATATTTAAAGTAGATAGCCTGTATTTTGTAGGGATGATTATTTACGCTTAATATGGAAAACTATAGTGTCAATCTCATTATACATTCAATAACCAGTCTACGAGACGCACTACACTAGGTATTAGGTATTGTTCATCTTCAGTGACAATAACAAGGATTAATCAACTAAAAAGCATAAAATAAATCAATTTTAACAAAAAAAATATTATTTAGCAATGTACCTATCTAAATTCGAATAAAACATCATACAAAGTTATATTACTTACAGAAACTACTTCAAGAGCTAAAGGTGCTTCGTACGGCGTGTATTATAGATAACAAACTTATCTTATATTCCTTGACCCCACTAAGTGCTGCTTGACTTGCTTTCTAGACTTTAGAATCATTAAAATAGAAAGTAAAACAGTTATTTAAAAGAGTCCAATACCATAATAAATGAAAATTAAGTCATAATATGCTTATTTAAAAAGATGGAAGGAATGACATAATAAAAGAATTTATCATTACTAAGTTTAACTACGTAGTATACACATATTCGCATTTATTTTGTGCTACAAATAAATCAACACAAGTAGCACAACTTAGATAAATCATGAGCTTTTGTTCAACTCTACATGACTTTCACTTGCTTTTTAAAATCTAAACAATGTAGAATTTTAAATTTATTCTCTAATAAAAATTTCGGAAACAATGTAGAACATAATATTTTTGGCTGGTTTGGCTGGATTGGTTAGGAATATCTAACGGAAGAGAACTTTACGAAATCGAATCGGAAATGAGGAGATCCGTAAACGAACTAAAGTCGCTGACATAGCCCTACGGATTAACTAGCTGAAGTCGCAATGAGCAGGGCACATGGTACGCAGCACTGACGGTTGATAGAGCAGCAAGGTTCTGGATTGAAGGCCATGTACCTAGAAGTGCAGCGTAAGACGACGCATAAAGTCGACTGTCGACCTCATAAAGGCAGCAGGCAGGTGCTGGATGCAGGCCGCTACCAACTGGCCATTGTAGAAACCATTATGCCTATGTTTAGCAGTGGACGTCCTACGGCTGAAAAGGTGATGATGATGATGACCTAACGGAAGAATATATTTAACGCAATTTCCTCCCAAACATTTTTGGTTCACTAAAACTAGCTCTTCTAACTCTGTTCTAAAGTTTGTCCGTTTATCGTGTGTAAATGGGAGCTACTCGTAGCTTCATAACAGTAATTTTGCACTATTTCATAATAGTAATTACATAATAACAAGTACCTATTTAAATTGCTTTAGAATTCTTAGTATCATTCCTCTACATTTAGGTAAGTAACTTTTCCTTGTAGTAACAAAAAATCAATCTTTATTGTCCACACATGTTTTGAGAGATCGAGAGGTATATTGTATGGTTTTTGTAGAGTACACAAGTAACTAGCAGCGAAAATGGACGAACAACCAATACGAAAAAATACTCAAACTTGGAGTTGAACTGTTTATTATGTACTGTGTGCTAATAAATGAAAATACGTGTATAATATCGTAGATCTACTCCTAGATCATACGTCATAGTCAAACGAAAAAATGACTCCATCCAACCCGTGAAATTAATACTAAGGAACTTAATACCACTTCTTTAAATTAGCTAATTTGTGTCGGAAAAACCTTATTACTAACACGCCAGTTGAACAAAGACGCATCTGCCATTTCAATATACGTCATCACAAGCGCGTTTAGCTCACTATCTTTTACTGCACATAGGCCAATGAAAAGGACAGAAGAATTGCGAATTGTGACGGAACGATTGCAAATGTTTATCAGAGAGCTAATGTTTGTGTGGTATCGGAGTTAGTCGCGCAGCTGTGTGCAAAGTGAGCAGTCGTGTGGTCATCGACGTTGGGTTTTTCCAGTTCGGTAGTGCGTCTCGTAGACTGGTTATTGAAAACAACATGGCGAAGCCGGGCCTAGGCACCGAGGTGGTGTTAATGGATGAAGGGGCAATGGCGGCCCAGATGGGCCGGGAAACGCCTCACATAACCAGCTTGAACGTCACCAAATCATCCCGAGTGCATGTTGGGCCTAAATTCGTATCCGTGAACCAAACCATACAAAACAAGGAAATGATCAAAGGTGAGTTGATTCGCCGAGGCAGCCTGTTGCGAAGGATTTTGTTATGACTTACCAACGACCGCAGCGACCTCTTGATTTTACGAGGAAAATACAGGGTGGAAACGATAAGTAATCCCACTCGATTATTTGTAAACTATAAAAGATATCGAAAACCTGGTTACTTATCCTGAAAGTGCTTTACGAGCTCTTCCAAACGGTACCAATAATAGGTGACCGAATAAACTGGAACTATCCAAAAATGTACCTAATGTTTCGAGTCTCCATACTAAATGTATTATGCCACACAATATTAGGAGTGTAATTTTTTAGATACGTCCAAATATTAGTTAAGCAAAATGCTTTTGAATTAAGACTAGACTTCCCACTTTATTATTAGTTAATATCTTAATATTGGAATTACAGAGTGTTGCTCTCAGACTTCATGATGCATTTTGACACCCTGTATGTTACGCTAGCGATAATTTGTCAATAAATAATTATTATGCTTGCTATAAAATGTATCTCTACGCTCATTACGTTTGTCCAGTAACATTGTACCAGATACAGTGATTTATCGTAATTTTGTAAAACCTATTTGAAGTGATGCGTCACTTAAATTCCTTTCTGAGCCATATTTACATAAGAATTATCGCAGGTTCATGGGCGAAGGAAAATATCTAACAAACTAACTATGTACAACACCTTACATAATGTGAATATTATTCAAAAGAGTTTTACTGTGTATAATCACAATATACTTAATTAAGACATTTCAGGGAAAAAATTAAAGCGATCCATCAAGGTAGCATCTATGATATGACAGTTATGTAGGTACTACCTGTTCATTCATAGTACATCTTGCCTACCTCATAAAATATAACGTAGGTATAATGCCAATAACTTTTAACATACATTAGCTTGTTACTTAAGGATGTAGATTTATTAATGCATTTTACACTGAATAATTGATTATACCTTTATAGCCATAGAAGAAACTTAATTGGTTACTCACTACACCTGACTTAGTAGGAAGGTAAACATATCTAAAAACAAAATTTTCGAAGTAGGTAAATGTATAAAAATAACGAATAAATAACCAGCCACTTAATAGAGTGCAATTGCAAAAACGGATTTATTCAGAGAAAAGCTTGCCACAGCTTTAAGAATTATGCTAAGTTTAATTTTCTGATTTTAATTGGTATCATTGTCATTAATATTAAAACATGATATAATTACACGCACTAGTTTCCAAAATCTGTAAATCACTACACTAACTTCTTCTAAACTAACATAGTTATAAGGCTAAATAATTAAATAGGTACTTATAATTAGTAATTTGTTATTAAAATTGCTGTGCGATGCGTAGCTCATGCGAACTTAAAGCATTAATGTACTGTACGAGGCAGTTTTTAAAAAATAAGTACTCCTAGTTGGGTCATCATACAGTCGTATTACACTTAGGTACTTAGAGTAAACCTTGCTATCAGGTTATCTGTAAGTGATAGCTGCCTATGGTCTTGTCGAAAATGTTATAATAGGTACCCAGGACAACTATCACAGCATGGAGCAAAAATTCTTTGATGTTCATTTTTTTTCGTTCATTAAACTGTTTGAGGCGCACCTAAACTATTCCTCGAACTACCAGCTTACCTATGTTTACTAATATAAAGATTATAGTTACTAAAATTAATAAAAAGAAGATATGAGGGCAACATAACATAGGTATGCTTCGAGGAATTTAGGTGCGTGGTGCGTTATATGTACTAATTAGTTAACTTATTATCTCCGAAATACTTTAAAATACGTTCAATCACAATTACTTTGTTTACAGACTGCTTATCTGCAGTTTTACCAGGAACTGATTATTAACTTTTTCGGAGACCGATCTTGTTTGTCTGCTGCACCGCGCTGAAAATACCGATTATAAATGTTACATGTAATAATGTTATTGTGTCCTTTGGAATCTGTGTAAAAATTTTCCTTGAAAATACCTAGCTAGTTAGTCAACCTAGTTTCTGAAGGTTTTTCATCGTTTATTATACAACGTGCTCCTTTTGTTTCCGGAAATTTTAAGGGTATATTCTATAAATAAAAACTAGTTAGAGTTATTTTTGAAGATATTGTGGATTCTAGATTTAGAAGATACCTAGTTGATTTAGATTATAGTATCATCAATGTAGCTAGTTTTTTTTTTTTTTCAAAATTGTCACCTAATCTTTTTGTGCAGACTTTTTATTGATAGGTGTATGTAAATTATGAATTATTTAAGTGAAAAATAGTACAGTTAAGTATTTTCGTATGAAAAAATAAGTCGAAAAAATTTGTTGAATTTAACAAAAAATGTAATGCCATTCCATTCTTTGAAGTGGTCTTATTAATACCCTAGAGTTCCAGGAAATCAAAAAGAGCACGTTGTATAGAGTGCACAATAAGAACTTATTACCTACTGGTTGGCACTTGCCTAATATAAGTACTACTTAGTACTTTGCTAATTATGAGTATAATCGCACCCCACCTCAAAACGAGTAAGTATATGACTTACATAAAAGAAGAATTATTTTTGTACTGATTGGGTTTTCTATTAAGGCTGGTCAAGTTAAAAATTTACAGCACATTATCAGTGCCTTACATTTTGCCATTAACCACAAAATGCCACAGTGTTTGTTTGCCATGTTGGACGTTAGTGCACGTGCCCAAATTCTGAAATTCTACGAAAAGGCGTGGTGATAGTTGATTTAATCCACGAAGGTACTGTCGTTAGGATAAGTAAATATATTTATCATAATTTGTTGCCTCTTAGCAGTACAGTATATCTAGTTAAAATCGGATTTCATATCCAGATTTAACTGGATTTATCGCGTTTGGCCCTATATTGCTGTTTGCTAATTGATAAAGTCATGTCATCGCCAAATAAATACGTATTTCGTGTAATACCTAGTATTTACTTATCATACTTAGATAGTAGGTAACCTGTAGGTACAAAAATTCACAAGAAATCGAATAGCATGGATTAAAATAAATTAAGCAATGCTGTGATAAATTTTGAATGATTCTGTGCTCGAAGTCCACCTTTATATCCGTTGGTCAGTTTCTGACCTGCATAGGGTTGCCAGTTGAAGTTTACAGATACAAAGGCAAAATAGAAAATGAATATGATGCGTTCATCTTCATTTTGTAATTTGCCCCCTTAACATTCACTACTTAGCATCTTGAATTGGTCGGAGCGACGCCTTGAACCGTATTGCATCCATCCAAAATAAAGAGTAAACTACCTACTATTCCATGATGCACTTTTTTGACCATGGTAGTGACATATTTTGAAATTGGTTTTACAATAGTGACTTATTTGTCTTAGAATTAAAAAGTGTTAACTTAGGCCCATTTGGTATTTTCTTTGAATAGTCTCATTGATTGAAAATACCATAATATTTTGAACCATAAAATCGTGTGATAATAAAATTTAAATTTAAATGTTTCAGGCCGCTTTTTGGGCCTTGAGCTGATGTCAGGAGAGTCCACGCGAAAGCTGCGTTGTAGCGTGGCGGTTTTCCTGTGTTGGGCCTTCCTTGTCTCCTCAGGCCTCGCAATCTACCTCGTGTATGTAGCCTTGTGGCATCAAGTACGACTAGACATAGGTAAATAGACCAATGTCTGTGTATTTGTTTACGGGAGACGGCCGCTTCAATCCTTAACCTATAACCTTTCGATCAGCACAAACACTAACATGCATGAACTAATTCTATTCTTCTTTTGTCGAGGCGAATAATCCTAGTATCAGATTTTAAGAACTTCATCGCAATTTAATTTAACAGCAATCTATCAAAATTAAATATCTGATAGTAAATGCTTCGGTCCGTTTAGGATTTATGTAGTTACCCAACGCTAACACCACCAATACTTAAAATATGTCACTGCTATTATTACTAACAATAAAATATGTTGTACTTACTCTTGATGGATACGATATGGTATTTTAGGATTAAAGGAGCCTTGGTATCTTCGACGTGAACAATGGCAGTCGATCAAGAAAGGAAACAGCGATGAATATTTGGCTCTACCTGTCAAATACGTCTATATTGGGCACAGCGCTGGAGCGTATTGCGACAAAAGGTATTCGTGCATCAAAAGTGTCCGACAAATCCAGGATGACCATTTAAAGTTAAATTGGGACGACATCGGTCCCAACTTTCTTGTTGGTGGAAAGGGTTTAATATTTGAAGGCAGAGGAGCAAACGTCCTCGGGGCCATGGTGGCCAAGTGGAACAAGAAAGGCGTCAGTGTTATGTTCCTGGGTGACTACAGGACAGACGAATCAGACCCACTTCAATTTGAACACATCAATGTGTTGCTGAAACGACTGCTGGAGCTTAAGGTTTTGGCACCAGACTATACGGTCGTAGGATACTGCCAAATAGTAACTTTCACGATCAGCCCAGGACCAAATGTGATGAGTCATTTGAACAACATAACCAATTGGGACCCAGTGAATCAAGATAAATGTCTACGCTGAAACACGGTGCTAATAAGACATCAACTAAATCATGACCTTAAGTTGATTCTTACTATACTATATGCTCATGATAATTAGTAGTTACTTAGGTGTTTAAAATTAATGAAATATTAATTTTATTGAGAAAATACTAGTCAAATAATTAATTATTTAGGTCAAATAATTTTGGACGTTATATAAACTCTCCTGTTATCCAAGAATCTTGTGTGTAGGTATTAGACTGTTGTGTTTTATGCGTATGGTCTTGTTATGGAATAATACCTACTTAATTAAATGTAATAACTTTTCGGAATGATTAGCTTGTTTTTATATGATTATTTTATATAATATGAGTGTTTATAATAATTTTATTGGATTGTATACATAAGAGTTCGATGATTCTAAGTAGATAACCCCTATGTTTAATGTTAAGTTTAAGTACTAAATTGATTGTACTTTATGCTGTTTTATTGCATCTGAAGCGGACTTAATTAATAACGATAACTTCTACAAAATAATAGGTACCTAATAGGTAGCGTTTTCAGTTTAGTTTGTATGATTGTGTTTACACGTATTTTGTCCCTAAAATAGTGTAATCGGAGCTAAGTCACACAGCTATAGCTTAGTTAAGTGCATAATTATCGCACGCACAAACGGCACTTAAAGCTCGATTCACACTTAAGCATAGAATCTTGAAAGTAGATTCATACTTGATCATGTCATGTACTGTGAGCCTAATTAAATTTAATTCGTTGCCAAATATTAACACACCACAAGTGCCAAATATTGGTCAACATTGAATAAATAAATATTTTTCATTTTAATTGAATTCTAGGTAAATGCTTAGGGTGACTCTATTTTTGGGACAGCTCTGTGTAAAGTATAAACAATTGATCTCACATTTACAGCTTGAGTGTGATCCATAAGATTTTGGATTATGATTTCTGGTTTGAATAAAAAGAATACCTACTCATTAATAGCCGCCTACTTACTTAAATAAATTGTTGAGAGTATTATGAAAAAAAATACATATAGTGACATAAATGTTGCAAGTATATCACAAAATTCATATTAAAATATATTTTTTTATTAAAGTATCATTACTACAACGACGAACTAAAGAAATAAAACCTTTAAATATTTCACATTGATGTTTTATTGTCATAATATTAACACGGTACTTAAAGTATGAATTGCTAAAAAAAAACAGAAAACACGATTTATTTTCAAGATTGAAAACTGATACTGATTATTATTTATCCTAGTTTGTTGTTAGTCCAGTCAATAAAGCATTATAGATGGAAATCCGTGGAACACAATTTCTGACTTCGGGAAAAGTCCCGAAGTAAATAAAGATTTAGACTAGTTAGGAGGTGAACATAGCAAAAGTCCGCCCTTAGCCCTTGAGCCGGCGGGGAGAAGGTGATTTAAAAGTACCACTTTTCGGTTTTTCACTTAATCCTCGGACACTATGCGTCCTAATGACATGACTACTATGAACAAAAAAAAGCTTATTCAATTTGCTACAGGTAAAATAGTCAAGTTTTTCTATATCTTGTATAGTTTTCGCGGCATCTGCTCTAGAAGGTCTATAATATTGGAAATTTTATTTTTGTCTTACACGTTCCCATCAGGAGAAAATCGACTAAATCAACATTCAGCAAACATTCTAGACATGCGGGAGCATGTTAAGCCTAGTTCCAGGGAGGGGACTGCACCGTGCGTATATTTAGACAAACCAATTGGAGCCACTTTTGACCTCTCATCACTCAAAAACTACTGGGCATTAACACTTCAAATTTGGCTCATGTGTTGAGACTTGCAAGATAAACATTAGCTTAAAATTTCATAAATCTACCTCAAACGGTTCTTTAGGTATTGACGTTCAAAAATCGACATTTTGAACACTAAAATTTACCGTCCGGCTCAAGGGCTATGGGTGGGGACTTTTGCTATGTTCACCTCCTATATCTACTCTTAGTTTACAAGTACAAGGAAAATAATTTAAATAATATATTAAGTTATACTTAGGTCGACCAAACGGTCTAGTTTGCCTGAAGTACAAAATAATACATGTAAGTTAAAGTAATACAACAGAATAATAATGTAAGTACCTTCCTAATCTACCTAATACTTTTAAACCGGACCGCAGGACCGGTCTATGTGGAAATCCTTGAGGAAGGTCTTTGTCCAGCAGTGGACGTCATTCGGCTGAAACGAACGAATGAACTTCAAAACATGACAATAGTCTATAAGTCTAAGTAAGCCGACTTGTCTGTTTGTTGAACCTTTTCTTGATTCGCGCTACAGCACAACAAGGTAAAACACTGTGGCATCTTATGCACTTATAAGTGGAATTTTGCAACTAAAATGTATGATACTAGCTTTTGCCCGCGGCTTCACCCACGTGAAATTTAATTTGTCACAGATCGTCATAAATTATAGCCTATGTTTTGTTATTCTGGGTTATCTATATGTATAAAAGAAAGTCGTGTTAGTTACTCCACTTATAACTCAAGAACGGCTAAACCGATTTAGCTGAAAATTGTCAGGGAGGTAGTTTAGAGCTAGGAGAAGGACATAGGATACTTTTTATCCCGTTCGAAATTAAAAAAAAAAGTCTGCTTATTTATTGCCATTAAGGCGGAACAAAGTTCGCCGGGTCAGCTAGTAAACAATAATAATCCTGTGAAGTTTAATCAAAATCCGTTCAGTAGTTTTTGCGTGAAAGAGTAACAAGCATCCAGACATCCATACAAATATTAAGTAGGATATAGCACATCAGTTCACATCACTACATAAACTTTTAATCACAGGAATGTACCCGATGCCAATAATTTACGATCGTCTTGTAAAAACAAAATCGCTATCGGAGCTACGGGCAAAGGCCATTGGCACTACGAATAGGTAGATACTTATTGCACACTGCACATAGAACTAAACATAAAAACATTTACATAACTAAAAAGTAAAAACTCGTTTTCTACTAAAAATCAACGGATCTGAATGGACTTGTCCTCTTTCCAGTAGAGGATTGAAACCTCAGCTTACAATTGACTCCTTTTGATAGAGCCAGTACCTACCTACTTCACAAAAGAACTTACATTTTCCTTAACAACACAGATGGTTAAAATTCAATAATTTTACTCATCATCATGCATGTGGTATTTAATTACCATGTTTAATTTGTTTTCTTACAGATCTACCTTTTCACAAATATGTTTGGAGTATAATTAGAAATACTACAAAGGCTGAGCGTCTGTCCTGCCTAGCGGCTACTACAGCATTGATAGTAGTCATCTTGCTCATTATTTACTACACCCTGTTTATGAGGAAAACGGACCAAGACCAAGGCGTTAACTATGGTAAGCTTAATGCACCTAACAAATATTAAGCACCTAGTGTAGTAACAATATAAATTGATTGTTTAAGACTAAAAATTAATATCCGAACGTTATGAAATTTATCTTGGGGGAAAAGGAATATTTAAGGGATAGGTAACACAGAAATGAAACGAAATGTATAGTCCAGTCATTTCGTCCGAAAAAAAGGCAAATAAAAGAAAATGAATTTGCGCTTCTAATTTTTTAATATGTTGTAGGGGATACCTAGAAAAGCTTAACTTGAGATTGTCGACCAAGCTTTCCTAGGAGCTTTCGCCGCCATCTTGGAAAACGCTTAAAATTTGTTTTTCGGCAATAACTCGGCTATCCGATGAGATTCGAAAATTTTTGTAGGACACTTTTTGTAGCTTTCTTTGTGCTCTACAATAACGCCCGAACCATTTTTAGCGTATCATGCATCGTTATCGAGATATCGATCGATAAAGTCAAAAATTTTGGACACAATTTTTGTTTTTTTCTTTTTTTTTCTTTGGGTCTTAATAAATATGAAAAATTCCGAAATAATTAAATAATTAATTAAAAAGTAAAAAGTAAAATTTAATTACTTTTAATTACTTTTTAATTACTTTTTTTTAAGTAACGGCAAAGCATTTGTATTAGTTGGTTCTTGTTTTGATCCCTTGTGAGAAACTTCTCCTGGCTAACTTTTGGAGTAGTTGTCTCATCGAATGTGAACTCCGGCGATTGGTTTTTTCTCGAACGTCGTACTCTTTCCGAAGTTTTCGTTCCAGCGAGTGTCATATCAGTCGGATAACCGTCGAATATGATTGCAACCTTTCCTTCGAAGTTATGTTGTACGTATCTGACGTTAATTATTTAATTATTCCGAAATAATTTGTGTCCAAAATTTTTGACTTTATCGATCGATATCTCGATAACGATGCATGATACGCTAAAAATGGTTCGGGCGTTATTGTAGAGCACAAAGAAAGCTACAAAAAGTGTCCTACAAAAATTTTCGAGTCTCATCGGATAGCCGAGTTATTGCCGAAAAACAAATTTTACCCTTTTTTTCAACATGGCGGCGAAAGCTCCTAGGAAAGCTTGGTCGACAATCTCAAGTTAAGCTTTTCTAGGTATCCCCTACAACATATTAAAAAATTAGAAGCGCAAATTCATTTTCTTTTTTGAATGTACGTAATGACTGGACTAGTATACCATCTCGCTATTAGTTATAACTTAGTCACAATACGTAAACGAGATGGATCAATATCGATTAGTACATTATTGTAATTGGTTACGGTTTCTGAAGTAGCTGATAAAATTGGTATATTACCACTTGTTGCTAAGTAGGTAGAAACCATGTCCGTCGCTTACAATGTGATATGGTGGCAAACATAGAGCCTTTCAGTCGCCGAATAGCTTAAATAAAGGCCTATAAAAACCTGAGCGATGAGCGATATTCGCTGCCGCTGTGAGTACAGGTACATACCACGCGGGTTTCGCTCAGGTATTTAGTATAAGTACCGCGGCTAGAGCGTTTTCTTTGCCGCAGACGGTAGCGAATACCGCTTAGGTCTGAATAGGCCTTTAATCGGTAAGCCTCCTCAATCCTTCCTTTGTAATACGGCTACAACTACTACGGCTTCTAGCACTTTTCGTCGCTAAAATCTTTTTGAATATTTTATAGCTCCGCATGAGTGGAACATAACCCGAGAAATGTGGTTGGCCGACGACTTTCACCACAACTCCACGACTGACACGTATGATCCTCTCAAATTGGTCATCATCCAACACACGGTCGGCGCTGAGTGTCACACTTTTAGCGACTGCTCAGCCTATGTCAGAAGATTGCAGGAATACTTCCTGAAAGACCTTAAATACGATATACCGTAAGTAACTGTTTTATGTAGGTAACTTCTTAAGTAGATAGCTTACGTACGTAAACAGCTCTCATTTTTTGACAATACCCACCTACATAACGCTTGCTGATAAATTAATTGACAATAGTTAAGATTAATCCTTAATTTTATTATAATACTAGATTTTGCCCGCGGCTTCCCCGCGTGAAAGTTAGTCAGTCATCGATCGTCATAAATAATAGCCTATATCGCACCCTTAATAATGAATGGGCACAACTCCAAAATTCCGTTTTTTGGGAAAAGCCAAAAAACAAATCGGCGGATCGCGGTTTTTTTGGCTCTAAAATCTTTATTTTATCAGCTACAACTTTCAAATTAGGCATACATCATCACTGGGCTCGGTAATATAATTTGACTTGAGACATTTTTGAAAATATTGACAAAGAGTATAAAAAAAAATTAAATAAAAAAGTTAGGCCTTTATTTTACTATTTCTGTTGTTGTGATTTTGGGTATTACTTGTACTTATGCCCATCTAATCCTTAGGATGAATCATTTTTTATGGTATATTTCCTAATATTGCTCTTTAATATTTAAAAATAAAGTGTATTATTCGATTTTATATTGATTTACGCCCAATAACATTGGGGATAGTCATTGTGCGGTATAGTAGCTTAAAGCCAATTCTGTTTAGGAGTAGGCTGCTGAATACTAGAAAATTATTAGATGTGTCAAATTAGATTAAAATAAAGACTATTAGCTATTTCTCTCAAAAAAATCGACATGAAAATACTAATTTATGCATTTAAAATATTTTTACTTAGATAGAAATAGGGACTCTTACTCTATAAAAAATATGCTTTTCATCAAATAATAAAGAAAAAACTACAAAAACGTCTTTTGGAAGCTTTTCTGTTATGGGTTTGTTCAGGATAATCACTTATTAAAGTCCAACAGTCAGTACTATGGTATCTGTTTTCCACTATCCTGCTGTCCTGGTGGAACTGTTCTCCTTGTCCCTTAATATAATCGCCCACATTATGTGGGAATCAGTTGAAATGGCTATTGTAAAAAATACAATTTAATGCTCAAATTGGCGTGTGTAATTTTGAAGGATTTTAGCAACCAACTTTGAACACCAGTATATCTATTTGTTCTAACATTCCCCAAAAAATGTTTAATTACTACTAAAACAACTTAGCTATGCTTCAGATTCAATATGTGCTATATGGTTTACAAATAGGTACAGTCTTTTATAAGAGTATGGATTTGCAGTCCATGGAAGATAGCTGCTTTTAATTTTTCCGTACCACTCATCATGATTTTGCATTTGATAATTTTAGTGATTAGAAAGCTCAATCCATATCTTTGGCCCTCCAAATTGAAGCCCTTTACGTCCTGCTTGACTTCAGTATCGCAAAGAGTCTAGGTACACAAGGTTTACGACGATAGATATTGGGCACCCAATATTTATTAATTTGTCCAATTCTTATCCCAAAGTATGTTTGGTTTGTTATCACAACCTCCATGATTTTCAGTAGTTTTTGCTTGAAAGAGTAACAAACATCCAGACATCCAGATATATCCACATCCACACAAACTTTTGCAATTACAATACATATTAGTAGGATAGTAGGATTGGAAAAATAATTTTTCCAAGGCATAAAACCTAATAGCTACGATAAAATAAAACTCTGCTATGATGTAACGCGGAGCTAAGCCTAATTATAAAGTCCATTCATTAATTAAGTAGGTAGGTACCTACTATGTTATAACTATGTTAATCTGCCAATAATACTTCTTTTCAGCTATAACTTTTTAATTGGAAACGACGGACGAGTGTACGAAGGTCGGGGCTGGAACCGGGAAGGTGCCCATACTTATACATTTAATAGGTGTTCCCTTGGTATTGGTTTCATTGGTAAGATAAATAGTTTATTTTGTTTCATAAATTCGTTTATTTGTAATACGAGTAGTGTCTGTGTCACTTCTAGTTTTTTAGCTATCGCCAACAAACGAAAATCTGAAAGAGAAATAAATACTTGCACTATTTAGGTAGGAGGTCTTATAAACTTTAAACTAGTGGGTATTTAGGTGCCACTTTTGTGTTCGGGTGGTTACGATATGCTTCCATACATTAGTAACGATAAACTAGGCCCTAAGCATGATTGGCATTGACTCTTATGATCCAACATTTATTACTTAATTATCTTATCGCATGCATGAATAACCAACTATAAAATATCAATTGTGTATCTCTTGTACCAACATACTACTTTGTGTGTCTAGTTGATGTGACATTATTTTAAAAGCGAACCACCTCTAGACATAGCTAAAAGCTACAATATTATTCCTTCTTAAGTTTTCACAGAGTCGAGCATTATCAAAGTGGTGAGTTCAAATTTTGCAAAAATCCTGACGAACCTAGAATCTTATCATCGACACCTGACCATGTAATGCAGTCTGACATCAGACAGCTAATAAGTTGGTTTTGGTTTTTGGTTGGTTGGTTTATTATATGTAGGTATTTAGAGTTGGAGACACTGCACCACTATTACATGTGTATTAAAGACCCTTAGTTCTTTTGCTTCACTAGCCTATGCCATGGCTTCACCCGCGTATTATTGTATATGTCACCGTAAAATTGTGAATTCCGTCAGATTATAATCTGACGTACCTAGTTAAATTACAATCTAACCTAACCTAACCCACTGTTAGTTTACAATCTAATGCGTTATACATATTATATAAACTGACAGAGTTCACAATTTCACGATGACATATACAAAAACACTATCTCGCTCGTGTCTCCCTTTCAAAAATTGGATTCAAAACTATCTATACTAAGTATGTTTTCCCTGGGTCTCAAATAAAATAATATCTATAACAATTCCATCTAAATCGGTTCAGTCTTCATAAAAGCTCTACCTTGGAACTGAAAAACGGAAAAACCTTTTTACGTAATTCCAGTTTCCTACCTACCCATTTTTTGCCTCTACATAATAAGGGGGACATTGGCTCAATGTTACGAGAGCGTTGCGCGTTGACTCATGTCAAAGGTTATACTCGTAATAAAGTTTACATTTTTTTTTAACTTTGAACTCCTTTGTTCTTCTGATTAATTTCGTTACGGGTCCAATGACAGTTTAACTTTCCCCCGGGACAAACTTGACCTTTTCACTGGTTGGGTTTTTATTGGCGGTCAAGCTGTAAATCCTGGCTACACAGGAGTTGCAGCTGTGAGATCGAGAGGCGGGAACTTTCAAGGAAAACTATAACGGTTATGATACATCACTTAGTTTAATAATAATAGTCGTTTAACTCATGTATTATAAAATTTCATACTAATAAAAATTCCTTAGAAGAAAATATTAAAAGTGACTTTAGATGAAGTAATTGCTTGTTCTGAAATACCTATGTATTACGGAACCCTACACGCACTTGGCTAATTTTTTGTACATAGTTTTTGTTGCAGTTCAAGCAGAAACACTCTGTACCTATACTAGATATTATAAATGATATGCGATTTTAGACCTTAATTGTCGATTTCTACTGGTCTACTACTTAACACAACTAATTTTGGTATTCATTTTATCAGGTGACTATCGAAATACAAACGTCACTACAAGTCAAGTGGAGAGGCTCAACCTGTTGCTCGCAGAAGGTGTGTCTAGGGGTCACTTGGACCCTAACTATTACATAGTTCCTGCAAAAGACCTACAGAGCACGGAAAGCCCCGGGACGAATTTATACAATCTAATCAAGCAGTGGCACACATACGACCACAAACTACAGTTCAGAGGCAGATCGTGTGACCAGATCTATGGAAGAGAATGAAACTAAGGCTACTTAAAAAAGCTTTGCATCACAAACTTGTTATAATTTACCTTATTTTTACTAATTTTTAAGTAAGATTTTTATGTAGAAGTAAGTAAATGTTATTTTTGAGATAAATATCGACAGCACATCAAGCTAAAGTTGTAATGAATGCTATTTTTTAACTAATAAGTATGTAATTAGCCTGATGGGCTGTTGCTGAACATTAATCTAAATATGGATGTGGATTTTCGTAAAATAAGTGTCTGTAATAAGTTATGACTACTTACTAATACAAGCATCACAATCCTATTTGAGAGGATAACTTCAGGACTAAAAGAAGCATAGTGAACTCTTTATAGTTTCTAACACAGACATTAAATTTTAAGTTAATAACTATGTACCTTTGATAAAATCTTGAAATAAGTAGGTACCTAAACTTAGAAATCTGGTCAGGGTACCAACTTCTTAACTAAGAATAACTATTCAGGGTTAACTGTTAAGGTGGGTTTGACGTATACCATCCCATTTGCATTTCGTCACGAATTCAAAAATCCACATTAAGTACCTACCTATGTTAGTACTAAGTGGACGGGCGCGTTCCATGACGTGGTTCTACACGACAAACTAAATTGTATGGACGTACTTATAGGAGCTTTGCTACGAATATAGAACCAGCACGCTTTATGCTACGTAGCAATGTGAACTTAAATTATTTATGTTTTTTGTTTATGTACTTTTAGTTCATGGTTTTATCAGGGGTGTAATTTAGTGCAAAGTACCTATACCTACCTACGTATAGTTTATCTTAGATGCAAAGCTAATATGTAATTATTAAGTAATGTTTCATTTACATGATATGGTTGTGCAGGGTTCAATGATCAAAAATTGAAAGCATTTAAGTGTCATAATTACCTATATCATTTAGGATAAGTAAGCTGCGCGGTTTGTAAGTTAGACAAAACTACCAATGAAATTAAAACATTACAGCAGTCAATGTTGTTAATGTTTCATTCTTAGCTGTTAAGCAATAAGATTTCCAAGCTACTCTAGAAATACAAGACTGAAGTAGGTAGGTACTTACCTCTTTTACTGTCTTTTCCTGAAGCCGTGGAAGTGACGTAGTTTTAATTTTTATTTTAGTTCTATTACCCGATACCGGCTATATGGAATAGCTGCAAGTTACCTACTTTAGTAATTAGGTACTCCGCCAGTCCGCAATCGTGTAATTCGTTCACATTAAATAGATTTAAATACTGGATTACTTGTATTGTGTACCTATTTACCATTGATATGGCTATTTGACAAATTAGGTTTATGTTAGGTAGGTACCTAGGTTAAGCCGTTGAGTTGCCGGGTTAATGAAATAAAGCCTTATCAACAATAAAACTCGTTTTCCAATGTCTATGTTGTTTGTAGTACTTACTTATTTGCTAACCTGTCCTTTTACATTCAGATCCCGTTTATATTTTGAACTTAGTAGATAAGGTTACGGAAAGACAGCCGAACTATTCAATAGAATGAGAAAACCGCTCCAATAGCCATAACCAATATAGTATATTTTAAAAGGCCTTTAGATGTAGGAAAATGTCTGCTATGGGGCCAGTTCTAATTCACGTTTTGAAAGCAGTAATTCCACTAAGTATTATAATGAAAGTATAACACAATCATCCATGTATACGAGTATGTATTATGACTACAATCTATTAATATAACTAAAAGAAGCATTGAAAAGGAAAGGATTATACCTACGATGAACTACCCAAGCTATTAGCCCTTTATTCGCTTTCATCATCATCATCATGATCATTTTAGCCATAGGACGTCCAGTTGAACATAGGCCTCCCCCAATGATTTCCACAATGGCCGGTTGGTGGCGGCCTGCATCCAGCGCCTTCCCGCTACCTTTATGAGGTCGTCGGTCCATCTTGTGGAGGGACTTATTGGGTCTTGTGGGTTTATTCGCTTTAGCAACCCCTTAGTATTTCTCTTCGACAAATACTTTAACACATTGTGAACCACTTTTCTTTCACGACTATAAAAATATTTTAGCAATTTAATTCATAAAACCAATTGCGCACATTTAAAATAAACTTTGTTTACACTTTGACAGCAATAGACTGACATGCAAGGTGACATGTCAATGAAGTTTTCAGTTACTGTTGCCATTAAAAGAAATTAGTACCATTAGTTTTCCGCAACATGGCGAGGGTTTTTATGTTCCTGGTCAGGCTATACCTACTTTTGCCAGCGGATTTTTTTAAGTGGCAGACTACACTAATGAAATTAGAAATCACTTAAAAATCTTATTTTTAGATTAGACTTCAGAAAATTTTATGTTTAAAAAAAAAACAAAAACTAATCCCAGCAGGCAGACCACAGATTACAAAGTTAAACAAACACTTTTGCATGCATGCCTCTGCATGCAAACAAACGACGACGACGACATGACCATAGATGATAGAGAATGGAGCCGTTTGGCCGAAAATATCGCTAGCTAGAGCTAGGAAGAAAAATGCCGTCCTTTAAAATTCCTCTGTTTTTGCGGTAAGTGCTATCACTGCTAAAATAATGTCCCATACATTTGAATCGACACTTGAAAGTAGCAAACTTGTCCTTGCCGGAAAAATTCTAAAGTTTTCGGTGGTTGCCATGCCATGGCATGGCATGGCGATCACCATTTTGCTAACAATTTATTTTTGTCGATTTTTGGCCAAACGCCCCTTATTTTAGACGTCATGATGACAGACAGAATGACAATCAATCAAATTCACAGAACCACAGAAATCAAAAGAAGAGAATGAGATAGAATGATAGAATGTGGTTCTTGAGCTTACATTTATTTATTTACTAATAAACTTCAATTAATAAATTGAGTTCATCTGTGTTAATTAACTAAAATTTTACATGAACAAGACAAGTTTCATGTCATCGTGTCTTAATTGCTGTATTTAGTTTTATTGAAAAAAAAAGAAAGGATTTGTTTACACAGTACACTACACAATATCGAAATTCTAATTTAATTTCAATTGTTAAAATGAATAACGTTCATTTGCCCGAGGATTGTGCGAAGCAATGGGAGATTCTTTTGTTGCTACTTTCATCAGAAGAGAAGAAAATTGACCGGACCAGCGACAGCGAAATCGATACTATGAACTACTTTTATAAAAACGAAGGCGTCAGGTAATAAAATGTACATAAAATACTAATAGATTTATTATTTTGGGTAATTTTCATGTTTAAATAATATCAATAATGTAGCCAAAAACTTCTCATAGCATATCATCAACATTTATAGTATATCTAAATAAAATAGTAGCTTAAAAATAATAAAACATCAGTTGTCTTTACACTTCCATTTTTATACTATACACAGAAAAATCCTCACACATTGGCTACAACAAATGCAAAAGACATACGCTAAAAAACTCAGTGACTCAAACACTGCATTAAAATGCAATGAAATATCCCAGTTGTGGCGTCAGCGAGGCAATGATAACTTCCGAGCTAACCGAGTCAAAGAGAGTTATAGGTGTTACTGTGTAAGTGTCCTATATGCCCCTCAAGATGGACCCATGTATCCACTTGCACTGGCAAATCGATCAGCTGCTTTGCTACGGATGAAAAGATTTCAGGTACGAATATTTTATTTTTTGCTTGCCATATGGCAAAAAAGGCAGAACTATTTTTTCTGATACTTTTAATTCATCTATGTAATCATTTATTTAACATTTCTGCTTATTAAAGGAATGCCTAGCAGACATAAAGCTGGCACTCGACCATGGATACTCTAACGAGCAGCGGCACAAGTTGTTGCTACGACAAGCTGACTGCCACATCGAGTTGGGCTCCCGGGAGCAGGCTGTGGCCGCCCTTTCAGCTGCCGCAACTCATGCTCACTCATTGCAACTGGCACCCACTCATGCTGGTACTCTTTGTTTTGTTATTTAATAGATGAGTCCTTCTTTTCTTTCTGATATTCTATTCTTCAAGACATTTGGATTTTAAAACATAATATTTTATTCATCTCTTTGCAGCAGAGTTTGATAGACATATTAAAATACTGGAAAGAAAACTTGAAGCATTACAGGAAATTAATGAAGTAAAGCAAGAAGAAGTGCCGATTCCAGAATGTTACAAAGGAGAAAACCCCAATTTCTTTGCGGCTTCTAATGCTCTAGAACTAAGGTAAATATCAGCTTTAATGGTGCAAACCAATACATTCTGATACGTCACGTGTGTCGGCTTAAGGCTTAATGTGATCTGCCTTGATTTCACGTTACAAATAAATTAACAGGCGCAGTGAATCGTGCGGCAGATTCGTAGTGGCGTGCGAGCCAACGCGTCGTGGCGATGTCTTATTCTCTGAAGAGCCTTACGCTTGGGTGACGCTGCCCGAAGGAGACCCAGACCGAGGCGCCTGTGAGACTTGTTGTCAGGCGGATGTGAATCCTGTGCCGTAAGTAATAAGGAGAACTTCTTATCCATTTAAGATTCATTTTCAAATAAAGCAATTTTTTTCTAAATATTTAAACACTCTTATTTAGTGATATGATAGCTCATTCGAACTAACATTTTTCATCTTAGAATCGGAATCTTAGATATCAAATTTCTGACTTCACCATACCATTTATATGACCATGTTAACATGGGCTAGTGTCGGCTCATATACCCATTTACCTAACACCCTGTATAGTAATTATTATGATGACATTGTCAGATGCGGTACGTGTTCGCGTAGCGTGTACTGCGGCGAGGAGTGCCGCGCGCGCGGTTCGAGACTATTCCACCGCTGGGAGTGCTCGGGCGCGCAGGCCGCCATCTTTCCCACTATTGGGATCGCGCATTTGGCTCTCAGGTACGTATAATACAGGGTGGAAATGATAAGTTGATCTCGCTTGATTATTTCTAAACTATACAAGATATCGTAAAACTGGTTATAGCCTGACCAGGAACATAAAAACCCTCGCCATGTTGCGGAAAACTAATGGTACTAATTTCTTTTAATGGCAACAGTAACTGAAAACTTCATTGACATGTCACCTTGCATGTCAGTCTATTGTTGTCAAAGTGTAAACAAACTTTATTTTAAATGTGTGCAAATGATTTTGTGAATTAAATTGCTAAAATATTTTTATAGTCGTGAAAGAAAAGTGGTTCACGATGTGTTAATGTATTTGTCGAAGAGAAATACTAAGGGTTCGGACAATATTTTCATTGAATAATGTTTCCGACAAAGGTTGTCAAATTGACTGACATGTTTATCGTATAGTACAGTCCACTATGAAAATTAGCTGTAGTCTGTTTCAACTACCTATTTTAAAGTTTTTTGTCACTTTCTAAGTTTTGAATTTTATGGAATTGGGAAAGAAGTACCGAGTTTGAAGCGTTCATGAGCAGACATTGCAGTTGAATATTCAAGTTCTGAATTTGATTATTGATGAATAATAAAATAAATCCTACTAGCTCGATTGATGGTTTCATTTAATTTATTTAAACCAGGTTACCTTTAATAATATTTTTCGTTAATTTATGAAAATATCAAATTAGCCCGTAATCCTGAATCCTGATAAATAAATTTAGCCTATTAATTCAACACATGTACGACTGTACTCAGTGTTGCACTATCAAATGCAATTGAAGCGCCTCTATGCCAGGGTTTTTATGTTCCTGGTCAGGCTATACTGATCCTGAAAGCGCTTCACAATATCTTTCAAACAGTACCAATAATAAGTTACAAAATAAACTGGATCAATCCGAAAATTTTATGTTTCCAGTAGATGCAGTTTATTCTGTAACTTATTATTGATACCGTTTGATAGAGCTCATGAAGCACTTTCAGGATCACTAACTAGTTTTTTGATATTTTGTATAGTTTAGAAATAATCTAGTGAGATCACTTATCGTTTCCACCCTGTGTACGATAAAATATACAAGTCTGTGTAAGTATGGATCAAACAAAGGATTGGCTTTACTTCTCAATACAACAACTTTCCTACAGAAACAACATCCAAATTCTAAAAAGAAACGTGACATCCCCATAATAATTTGGCTGATTACCGATGACAATTTGTATAGAAAGAAAGGTAGATTTTTGTAAGATTTGAACCTCATTTGTTTTTTTATTTTTGTATTCATGGTTTAAAAATATCAATTTTGGATACCTACTTTAAACACTCCAAACATACTAATTGACCAGCTGTTACATTTTTATGCCATAAAAAGGTGTTAGTAGGTTTAAATCAATAAACTAGTAGCTTGGTTGGCGTGCGCGACATTTATACCGCAGGGATATTAGACCGCAGGTAGGCCATTTTATTAGATATACGCACGCCCTATTTCACAACAATATCAATGTCAGTAATAATAAGCATTTAAATTGCAATCCCAGAATTTCAATGTGTAAGACTCAATTTCTCCAGCAAAATGACAACTTATATCTTATGCTTATGCGATTGTGCAATGCTTGATGATCTGCTTGTAATAAACTACTTATATTTTTTCCAATATTTATTGATATGTTACAAATAAGGGCGAGCACTAATTAGACATGTCTTTGTTTTTCTATTCCCCTAAGAACTTATATTTCATCTACGAAGACGCGCCCCACCATTCTTCCGCTAATGTTTGAGTGTTTAATGTTTGGTATATTATTATCCATGAGTGCACACGCACAGTACAATAATGAGGCTCGGATTGCTCAGATCAAACTCCCCGCACCCCGCGCTTCCCTCGACCAAAAATGGTGGGGCGCGTCTTCGTGGATGAAACTTTGTAACCCCTTTTTCTTTTATTTTCTAGAGTGCTACTCATAACAGCCAGCGAAGGTTTCCCTCGGGTCCCGAACCCGACCGATCAGCCGAGCTCGGCAGCCGAACTGTTCCAAGCGTACTCTCGCATCGATGACATACAAATCTACAAGAAAGACACGCCAGCCTTCTACAGGATGTTCAACTTGGTTACCAACTTCGACAAGATGAACAACACAGACTATATACAGTATGCTTTAGTGAGTAGAAATATGAATAACGATTCAGGTCTACTTGCGCCACTTTCTATAGGCAACTTGTGTCCAAATCAATTTTGTATGTAAGGATGAACTCATTCAAATCTAATTTTTGTCTGCCAAAGAAGCGCATTAAAAGTCATGGATTAATAGTTATAAAAGTAACACTTACTTATGAACTTTCTACTTGTTCTTCTTCTCCTCTATGGCTATTGTGTTTGAAATTGCGTACTTTTCAGACGGCGACAATGCTAACGCTATACCTAGAGCGGTGGACGACATTTTTCGACGAGTTGCCGTCGCGATTGCCACACGCGTTGCCCGCGCGTCAACTGCGCGTTTTCGCCGCGGCGCTGCTGTTGCGGGCGCTAGGGCAACTCGTCTGCAACGGGCACGCTGCGTTGACGCTCGCTGTGTTTGTAGATGACGACACGGGTGAAGATGGTAAGTATGTAGGACGATATTTCAGTTGCAAAAGTTAAATTATCTCATAATGAAGAGTAGATAAACTCTTCTAGAAAAATAACAGCCCCTAATTTCTTCAATCAATGAATAGTGACGTTTTATTTTTATATAAGTGTTCATGCAGTGATCGGAGTAGGCAGAGCTATTTTTGTTCATTATTGTAAAATGTGGACATGCCCTGAGGATCCCGAGACTTCATCTACCTAGATTCGATTTTACCGTTCGGCTGATAAATTAAAATACATAGCTGCGTACTCGATGTGGTACAGAACAAAAACATTGCCCTTGCTTCACGCGAGGGCATAATATCCACAATTTTATTGTAACAACGTAAGGCCCGGTTTCCACCACAGCAGGTGGATTGAACCAATTACACAGCGGTCACTGAATGTGTATGCATGTAAAAGGCATGATTGTTTCACCAAAAGGTCAAGCGGCGACGGTATCTGAGCGCGAGGTTCGTCGTGCCACTGCAATATACCCGTCGGCGGCCATGATGAACCACTCCTGTGACCCAAACATCATCAATACGTGAGTATAATAAAAATAAATATCTTTAGGCTATAAATCTGTTAGGCAGCTGCCTCGCATTATGTGGACAGGCGACGGAAACCAGCGAGGTGGCGTTGTGTTGTGTCGTCAAGGTAATCGCATTAAGTACCTACGAGGGGTGTTCAAAAAGTAATGAGAATGGGATATTTCTAGCCAAAACAAAAATCTGAAAAAAATGGGTAGGTAGCATAATTCTTCACTAGAAACTGGTGAAAAAAACATTTAAATTCACTATTGTGTTTAAGAATTACATTCACCTGAACACGACCAGTCGGAAAGTATACTGGGTCATTGACTAGCACACTGTCATGACACGTAATTTAAAAGACTGGCTTATCGACAATGTATGGATAAAATTTTTATATTGTTATTCCATTTTCTTTCATAAACTTCGAATTTTTGACGATATACTATATACTAATTACTACATGTGATACATCATTGGAAAGAAGAGAAGCTAGAGATGTTTTAAGATCATTGGCAATCCATTATCACCTTTAATTTTTTTTTAAATCGAATTCTAAGTTAATTTTTTTATCGTGGTTTGTACTTTTGTTAAACTTTGGCGGCTCGTAACTAGCTATCCAATCATCTGGATCTGAAATCTGAAAATTTATTTTATTTGACTAAAGACATTCGATATTAATATCGAATAAAAAAGCGGTTGAAAACACGCGAGATCCAATTTTGAAAAAAGTAGCTCATTTAGGGACAAATGGGCGAACTTGTATTCTTAAAATGACCTTACCTATACACCCACGAAGTTTGTCTAACCTTCCGCCGAACACCTTGTATATAAAAGTCTGGGCAGTTAATTATTATTATTATTATTCTTTGCAAATAAATACTTTGACTGTGACACTGTTTGTGATGATGCATTACAACTGTCTACAGTATTTTTGCGCACGGGTTATGCATAGCTTATTTTTATTGCTTTATAACCTAGAAACAAGAATAACAACAAAAAATTGTTCTGAATTTGCTTTTGTGTAAAAAATAAAAAAAAACATATCAATGAATGTATGAAACATAAACATTGAGATGATTTAATTTGTTGCTAAATATCTTTTTTTTCTTTCCTTCTTTCATTCTTTCTTATTATTAAAACATAACAAACATCCATTTAAGATTTATTCTCACAAGATAAAAATTAAAATAGAGTCCAAATATTTATTAAAAATGAAAAGTTCTAATTTCCTGTCATGTACCATAGAAGATTTTTTTCATAAAATCTAACCCTATCATCCTTTCAGTATACTGGCCTTTGTAACGTCGTTTCTCAAATCCCACTATATTTTGATGAAAGCGTGCTCCTTGTTCTTGCGAATAAGCCCCCATAATTATTTATAAATATATCCAAATGAGAATGTGACGTGCATGTCGAGAGTCATTCTACTATGAAGATGGAAAATTCAAATCGCTATAACTTCTTAAAAAGCAAATATTTTCGATTTGTAATCGCACTTTTTTATACACATTTGCTTATATAATCAGAATATAATAAGTAAAATCCATGCGCAAAAAAAATTTTTTTTTTGTTGACCCGTGTTATTATTTGGCAGCTTCTACAAGGGTCGGCTGGTGGTGGTGAGCGCGCGCGAGCTAGCCGCGGGCGGCGAGGCCCTGAACTGCTACGGGCCGCACCGGGCGCGCGAGCCGTTCGCGCAGCGACGCGCCGCGTTGCGCGCGCAGTACTGCTTCACGTGCGCGTGCGCGGTCTGCGCCGACGCCGACCGACGGGACTTTGTGGTCAGTAGGCATGGAAATGATGCTATTTTTCATTCATTTTCATTCTATGAAATGATGATTTTTTTTCATATGATTTCACATGCGAAATTTCACAGGCAATGATTTTTATTCGCAGTGTTTTAATGTAGCTCTTTCATATAATGTGCTACTTTTAATGAAGTATGAATTATGATGAAGGATTGCTAATTAGCTAAAATATGAAATGTAACAATATCTGTTTCATTTATGTCGCACAACAAAAAACAAACAGTTTCACAGCACATTGATAACCGCGCGACTAATGAAAATCATTCATTTCATCTGCCTGCTATCTAATGAAATCACACGAATCATGACAAGGAAATCTAAACCTTACACCCTTGAGTTTAAAGTTCATATTTAAAATGCCCAGTTTCGTCCGTCATCACATCTCTTGTCCTTTTCTAACACGCACATGATCAAATCATTCCTTCTTACTCGCTCGGTCGCTTCGCAGAGCTGCGCTCACGAACTTCGCTCGAATGAATGAATGAAATTCATGTGATTCGTGATTTCGTTGACTGTGAAATTATAGCAGTCTATGTGAAGTAAAATAGCAGGTGTGATTAATGAAATTCATTTCATATGATTTTTCACCTGCTATTCATGAAATGTTCCATGCCTAGTGGTCAGTACACCATTAGGCGGGTTTTAGAATCGCGCTGACCGCTCGCTGATCGTCAGCGCTGACAGATCAATATGTATGTAATGAGGGCTATCGTTTTTATACTTAACAGTTGGCACCCCTGGCGATTGACAGGACCTTACTCTACAGTGGCGCCATCTTGATAAGCGCAAATGCGATAGTCCTCCTACCACTTTAGCGCTCACAAGTTGGCGCCACTGTCTTCGCTACTAGTAAGTGACAGGACCTTACTCTACAGTGGCGCTAACTGGTGAGCGCTAAAACGATAGCCCACATTGAAGGGAACGTTCCTGAGTGACGCTGATCGCTCGGCGCCGACGCTCCATACATTTCGGCTGTCAGCGCTGACGGTCAGCGTGCGTCAGCGTGACTCTAAAACCAGCATTAATCGGCCGTCCTCTCCCATCCCAGAGCGTGTCTTTCTTCTTAGTATAACGGTTTGACCGGGACAGGCCTCGTCCAGGCTGGGTCTGCACTATCGTATCGTATCGTACACAATTACGGGGTATGCTCCGATATAGCACTGCGAGCACTGCTCAGTCCTCCACACCCATCAGTGATTGTAATGCTATATCAGAACATACCCATAGTCTCGTAGCTTCTACTAGGCTGCAAGGGCGCCCGGTAGTGGAGTGCGCAGCCAACAATTACGGGCCGCGCCGAGAGCGAGATTTGCACGCGTATTGACGAGCATTACACGCGCTCAGCAATAGGCTAGTTGCCTAAAAAAATTTTTTTAGTCCGTAATGTTTAATATCAAAAAATATTGGACACATATAATTTTATTTGTCAATCTAACAAATAATTACATAGTTATGGTGCGTTGAAGTTGCGCACGACGTCACAACGTGCGGCATTTTTAAGCAAGCGTTGACGTCACGGGCCTCTTCTTATGAACTTTGGGGCGCTTTATCTCTTTAAATTTTCATTAGTTTGAAAAAGTGAAAAATACGTGTAGAGTATTTTTTGATAAGTTAACTGACGGACTAATTAAAACTCTTGCTTTTTGACCCAGGCAACATCCCCATACTATAGATGCGTGTGCGCGATATGCTCCGATGCCGACCGAAAAAAAAACTTGGAATCTAAGGCCCGGTTTCCATCAAGGCGGAGCGGAGAAGTGTTTTGAATAACCAATCAGATATTATTATTTCCACTTCTCTCCGCTCCGCACCGCGCCGCGTCGCTGTCAAATTCTATAGGAAAATTCGTCCGCCTGACACTTCCGAAATAGCTACGATAGCCGAACGGTGAAGGCACGGTAATAATATCATAGTGAAAAGGGGTCGGACTGGTCGACTCGAGATCCGAGAAACGCGGGTTCGCATCCCACCGCCACTCGACTCGTTGTGAGCCCACTCGTAACACAAGCATTTTTAGCTTACCACGAGGGGCTAACGGAATTATTAGTAATTTGTGCAACACGAATTGCTAATACATAATCTTAAAAAAAAACTTCTCTCTTCTCCGCTCCGCCTTGATAGAAACCGGACCTTATAGTGAAATATTTTTTCAATTCGGTCGAGTAATTTCGGAGCATACACAAAATACACATTCTGTCCTGTCCTATTGCAGACTAAATTCTTGTGTGTAGTTCCAACTTGTAATAATACAAACTTGAATTCCTGTTCACAGCATCTGTTCAGCGCTTACGCCTGTCACGCGTGCAAAGGTCCCGTAACTTGCAACAGCGGTGGCTCCCCCAAATGTCCGCAATGCGGCGCGGAGTTCCGCGTGGAACGGGCCCTAGACGCCCTAGAGCGGGCTAGGGAACTCCTAGCCGAAGCCAAGAGAGCGCGTGCGCCGGCCGAGAGATGCGAAAAGGCACAGGCCGCGTTGAAACTACAACAACACGCTTGGCACAGACATCACTCCGCGTTGAGAGATTCCGCCGATAAGGTGGCCAGGCTGTATGCGGATTACGGTATGTTATTTTTTTAACTTTCTATCGCATTGCACTGTGCACCTTATGTGGATATCCCCACTAAAAGTAGTCGCAAGTCGCAAATACGCTGTTTGAATATTTTTCAAACATAGGTACTTACCCATATTTAAAATGCTAGTTGGTAATAATGTATTTAATTGTATTTGTGTTTTCTCTGTAAGTGGATTCTGTAAATTCTTTTGAGAAAATAAATGTCTTTAACCGTATCTTTCGTTTGACCGTATGGTTTTTATAGACAGCTTTGTTATTTATTGATATGGATAATGATGGCCACTCGGTAATAACTATTCCTTAACTTTATACCTAGCGGCGGCGAACTAAAAAGTTCGACTTTCTCAAGAGAAATAAAAAATATTATAAGTCAAAAGTAACGCCAATAAAAAGAAACGAAGGCCAAGTCTATCTCTTTAGACTTTTTAATGGCGATCAAGCTGTTGATTGGGGTACACAAGAGTTGCAGCGGTGGGAATAGTCATTTGTTGATACGTGCGAGCTTATTGCTATTTAAAGTAACAGGTAACAAGGACTAATCTATCCTACATAGTTTCCATTATTGTATCTTCTGTGTAGCCAAGATTTACAGGTGACAGTCATCCGATTTTTGTGTGTCTCTCAGCGAACGTTGACTCAAATATAAAAACTTATTACCTTATAAATAAATGATGTCATGTATTTCATTGTGTTACAGGTGATTTCAGCAAGAGTGTGGAACTAATAAAACAAAATATTCAAAGTCTCGAGTACCAGTTCGGATCTTTTAGTGCTGAGGTGCGTAAGATCGTGATGTTTCTGTCATAATGAGAGAAAGAGAGATAAATCTTTTTTTATTTATCACTTCTATAAATAGCGATGAAACGTCTTAATGTGTCAAGATTCTGGATAATAATTAACGCTCTATTTTGACTAATACATACATATACATATTTTCAGGTGGCCCATGAACTCAGGAAGTTATCTGATGTGATGTTGGAGCGGATTGTCACCACGCAAAACAGTGCCGAATACAGGTATTTTTATTTTACAATTTGTTGTTATAATATTTAAACTATAACATTGCTTGTTATAAACATGTATGAACTATATTTTGAAATTTACAGGGACTGGTGTCTTGAAACCCACAAAATATTGAAGAAAGCAGTTCAATTGACTGAACTGAATTACGGCTCGTGGGAACCTTTGGTCAAAAGGCTCAAGGAGAATGAAGAGTTTGTCGCCTCGTTACTCAACGAAAGCCGGAGTGCCGATGTAGCAGACAGCATCCACCATAATTTGCACTACAATCTCAAAATCTAGGGCGCATAACTAGAGCACTACTAAATCCCTAGAACAGCACATGTGAGTCCTTGTTTCTACAAACTAACATCTTTAGATAAAGTTAATTACATTTTACTATGTCACAGCAAATTAGGTAACTGTTATTTAAAATCTAAATAGTTAGTATCATACTAAATGTTCCTTTTCAAGTTTTGTAGAACTGTTCCTTAGTAGCTATATTCACTTCGGTCGTGGTTTAGAAACTAGCATATTAAAAACTCAGGATATTTTGAATGTTGATAAGTTTATATTTTATCAACTTGTGCGTGACTAATGCAACGTGATGTTCATAACATTATAAAAAGAGATGCCTAATAAAATACAATAAGATTGAATGAATACAGTTCAATATTATATCTAAGCAATGCGATTAGTGAGATTTTTTGTATGCAAATTACTTATAATATTGGTGTTGTCTTTTTGAATTTATATTATACATAAAATAACTCTTTCATATACATAATATAGGATAAAATACAGGATGTTGTTTTGTAAAACAACGCCCATCTGGGGTCATAGTACACATGAAACTCCATGAAAGTAATTACAAGAAAAAGATAAATCAAATTTTAACTATTACTTAATTAGTAAAAAACCTTGTTCAAACGTCTCCTAAAACTTTCGAGACTGCGCTTGTTAATGCGGCCAACGCCCCGGCAAAGCAGGGGGACTGACCGATAACTCGCCCGCGTAATAATACCACTTTCCAGATATCATGGATTTTTTCCAAAAAAAAAATTAAGTTATTTTTTATATTATATTTTTTTTTTGTAACAGTGTCGTGTATACTACCCCTGAGATGGGCGTTGTTTTACAAAACCACACCCTGTATAATAATATTTAGCATTTTAAAGGTCGACTACCTACTTATTGATACATAAATTAATATTGGTACAAGTTATTTAAAATTAATATTGAGGTTTATTTACATCATTAAGTAAAAGTTGTGATTTCAAAAATGATTTGAAAATCGGATTATGTAGTAAGTACATTAGTTGCCGATTTTTTAATTCGCATATAGCGAGCATGTAGACTGTAGAGCCAAGGCACAGGCGTTGTGGAACTGCACCGCAAAGATTACTACACCGACCACAGATATTTCTATGTAAAGGTGGCGGTTCGCGTTGCGACTGAGACAAGAGACAGAGACAGGAGATCGCGACCGTTACTTGGCTAAGGCAGAGACCTGTTTGTCTCTGTCTCGCTTGCGAACTGTCGCTTATACATTGTCTAAAGTCAAGTCGCGCGACGTTTGGGCGTGGCCTGCCGGCTACTTGCGTCGCGCGACTCGGTCGCTCACAAGGTAGTGCCGTGACGCGACAGATGCAAAATGGCCGTGTTTTCTTCGCACGAAATGAGTCGCACTGAGTTTCGTATGGGTCGCACGACTCGTGTCGCGAAGATTCGTAAGTAGCTGTCGCCCTGCGACCTGCGACCGGTTGCCTGTCGCGGTCTCGGGTCGTGGTCTCTCGTCGCGGTCGTCTTGATCCGAATGCTATCTTTAGACGACGCGGCGACACCACGCGATACCGTAACGCATCGTATGCTTTGGCTCTGAGTATGTACTTAAAATATTGATGTGATTAAATGCACATGTACCACTCTCCGATGAGGATGCTGATGAAGTAAACAACTGTACCTCGTAGTAGTAAGATCTAATGACTTTGTAGTTAAAACCAAACCAAAAGGAGAATCAATCATGTTAGTCATAGACTGCCATTTAGCTGAAAGTATACATAAACTTACACCCAAATTCTCTACTATAATATTTTGTGCCTTTTGAATCTCACAAAGTTTAATTCTAATGTGTGAATGTTCTTCCGTATCTGCAATTTGCTCGAAATCTGAAGAATATCATAAATAAATTGAAATGGTTATTTTTATACAATATATTACCCGTGTAAATCAAATTAAGCATTTTATGGAATACCATAGCGTAAGAATATGGGTGTAAGACACATCACTTATCTACATTTATATTTTAAACTTTAGAATGTACAATGTAACGGATACAATGACACTTTATACAACGTAATTTTTAATATACTAGCGTAAAATTAGGTTCAGATTAATATATTTAAATGTAAGTAATAATTTGTTTGTAGTCGTTTTCAATATTAACATACTTAACTATTTTGAGGTGAATTTGTTCAAATCAATCATAAATATACCATTACGGAAGATTTAAATGATGCTCTATAATCGTTACGTTAGCATCTTGTCTTTTATAAACATAATTGGAAATACAAAAGCAATTGAACTCTCCGGTGCCTTGTATTTATCATGTGCTTTATTACTAATTTTATCATTATATCGGGATCTAAAGTACCTAATATGAAATGTACAAACTATAACTTGCACTATGGTTAGATCAATGCGCTAAATTACAGTGCCTCATCTATACATAGGTTAAGTCCAACCCACAGCCGAATCATTGTCTAAAATTTAGACTCTAAAGAACGAAAATATGGCATGTCCATAAATTTTGTAACATTTATAGATTTTATTAAGTTATGTGTATGTTACGCTCAAAAATCGATAAAGTTTGGTCATTGTAAAATATCTTTACAGTGACCTGTCACTCGAAGTCGTACAATAATAAAATCTCCAGTGATGTGCCGTAGTCATCATAAGATCCATAAGATCGTTTTATAGTGAATCGTGGTCCAGACACTATCAGTAAAAATGACATTACATCGAAGTAGTAACTGAACTTACGATATCAGTCACACTTTGACTTGTTGCGTAAAAAAATCCCATCTACACGTCACACTATTATAAAACATCGCCACTGCCGGTCACACTGTAACCAATTTCTTTTCCCAACGAGTCAATGTGCGTGTGGACTGAGTGATCTCTTCAAAAAACTTTTGACAGCCAAATTTTGAGAGGATTTAGGAAAAAACTGTGAAAACTTCATGGTAAGGTATTGAATTTGTGAAACCTAAACCAAGAAAGCTAAAACTAATTAACTGGATCACTCAATCTGGACACCTGAAGAAAAAGCCATAACGCGTATTCAAGAATATACTACCTATGTGTTTATACGTTTGAAATAATTGTAAAGAATCTGTGAAAGCTGCTAAACAAATTTTCGATTCGTTTCAAAGCCACGTTTAAGATTTAGAACGGTTTATATGGATCACTCAGAATGCACTATGTTCAATTGAGTGATCTTTAAAACGCCACCTTATACTGAAAAAGTATGAAACATCATGTTTATCATAAATTATGCTTCTGGGAAAATTTGTGAAACAAAGATCGTGATTTTACTGGTTTATGTTGTAATTATTTAGGTAGTGAAAACACTCTAAAAACATCCTTAAAACTTCTAAAAACAAAACACACAACTCTCGGTTTGTTAAATAAATAATTTTTCTTTCTTTCTTTCATGTTATAAACCTTTCTAAATCTTAAACGGGGCTTTAAAACGAATAGAAAATTGGTTTAGCAGCTTTCACAGATTCTTTACAATTATTTCAAATGCAAATTATAAACACAAAGGTAGTATATTATTGGATACGTGTAATGGCTAATTCTTCAGGTGTCCAGATTGAGTGATCCAGTTAATTATATCTAGCTTTCTTTGTTTAGGTTTCACAAATTTAATACCTTACCATAAAGTTTTCACAGTTATTTCCTAAATCCTCTCAAAATTTGGTTGTGGTTGGATGAGATTTTTGAAAAGATCACTCAGTCCACACGCACATAACGAGTATGTCAGTGTTACATAATTTACACGTTAGTGCGATTGGTATGACGGATATAGTAAGGCTATTTGATAACCGAGTTCTATGAGAATGTCTTCACCTATTCACCGAAGGAAGGAATGACAGTAATATTGATTTCATTTTTACCGATTGATAATTTCTGGAGTTCTTTTGTTACATTTTTTTTTCATTGCCTACGTACAAAAGAATACAGAAAACAATAATTCTTACATACTAGCAGGACCACGAAAACAGGGATATTAGCCCGTTTTTTATCTTAAGAGACTAAGTTACATGCGTGTCTTATAAGAAATTTTATTGCAATAGGTATATTTTCTGAAGTGTTTATTCACTTTATTCAAAACTCAAATTAATTACAAGTTATTAATTGTATTGTAATAGTTGTGCCTCTGTTTTTTAGTAAAACCATCTGAAAACCTAGACAACTCGAAGCCATACCATGTTAATTTCACAAAATTCTTTACATTAAGTAATAAACTTTTTATAAAAATTATACTTGTTTATTTTCCGTACTCAATACGTACGACGTACGACGTACCTGGTAGAGTTACTGAAAAAAACCACCTTCCACAATACAGTGTCTTGATAAAGTGCACATAATATGAAAATAGGTGAAACTAGGCCTATTTTTATCGACAAAAAAAGGTCAAAAAATATTTGACGTATTTAAATTTTTTACAGATTTTTTTTTTCAATCAATTATATAAAGAGGTAATAACTTTTAAACTAAGAGGTACCTATATTGAATAAATGATTTAATTTATTAATGATAAGTACTTTATAATATTCTGCAAAGATTAAAAGACCAATATAAATGTTTTTTTCTTTGATAAAACATATTTTTACATGCAAATTTTACCGGTTTTGTGAAGTAGCTGCTTAAAGTGCCAATAATTGGGTGGTTTACCCTATCTATATATATGTTACGGCTAAAGATAGGTATGAACATAAACTTAAGATTAGCCGGCTAAACTTAAGTTTATCTTCGAGAAGCAGCTAAAGTACGATAACATGTTAGTTTGTGTCGTGATGTTCCATCTTTAGCCGGCTAATGTGCACATTAGCCAAAACGAAACGGCTAAAAATGTATTCGATGGGCGCGCCAGGCCGGCGGAGGGCTTGAGGGGGCGGTGGGGAGACAACGAATAGCTCCATATTATTTAACAATTGTGACTAGATATTGTTTTAAGTAATTAACACTGAAGAAGTTTTATTTTGTTTTATTTTGTAATTTTAAATACCTACCTACAGAAGATTCTGTAATGACCAAATGGTTCCTTATTATTTTATTTTAATGATAGGTACCTAGATATTGTTTTAAGTAATTAATATTTTGTTATTGTAATAATTGTAATTTTGAATACCTACATAGGTACATAAAAGTATGTGTAATGAAAGTGATTATTAATTAATAAAGTTTTCGTGTCCAAATAGTAAATATTATTACATTGTTTCCTTTTCCATTTCCTTCTAAATTTATAGCCAAGGGCCTGCGGTTACACTTAAGTTTAGCCGGCTAAAGATAGAAGAAACTAACATTAACACCTCGTCGAAGATAAACTCAAGTTTAGCCGGCTAATCTTAAGTTTATGTTCGCATCTATCTTTAGCCGTAACATATATAAAAGAAAGTCGTGTTAGTTACTCCACTTATAACTCAAGAACGGCTGAACCGATTTAGCTGAAAATTGTCAGGGAGGTAGTTTAGAGCCAGGAGAAGGACATAGGATACTTTTTATCCCGTTCGAAATAAAAAAAAAGTCTGCTTATTTATTGCCATTAAGGCGGAACAAAGTTCGCCGGGTTAGCTAGTATCCTGATAAAATAAAAACAGTAATAATGCTAAAAACAGGCGATAAAAAATACATAAAATAGGTACCCAAAAATGCCAATAAATAATATGACTTTATGAAAAAAAATCTGCATTTAATTTCGTGTTTTTTTTTATTATTTGATAAATTTCTCCATAAAGGCATTTTTGGAGAAAAATTTTATATAGGTTGGTTGGAATTTCAAGACTTGGTCCCTGCATTTTGACGAACACGATAAAAAATAGCTCTAGTTTCACCTACTTTATCAAGACACACTGTATAAAAAAAAAGCCTTTTACCTATCGCTACGTCCATGCTTCTTGACGGGTAGAGGAAAGAGAAAAGGAAGGAGTTACAAATAAAATGAAACAAAATGCCGTTTAATAGTTCATGAGTATTTCTCAAAAAAAATGTACATTTTGAAAAAAAAAAGTGTGCTTTGAAACAGTTCAAAAGTTTTATATTTATAAATCATCACACAAAAAAAACACACACAATTTTGAAGGATGAATATTAATCTTTAAGATAACGAAGAATTAAAGCTATAATCCTACTTATTACCATATATTTAGATATTTTAAAAATAGTCCTTTTTTACCTTTCATACAAAAACCTGTTTGCCACCCTAGCTTTTTCATGTATTTTTGTTTCATAAAATGCGATACGTAACTAAATTATTGTAAATTTCTTAGTATTATCGTTCTACGGTAATCGCAGTTTCTGTATCAAATTGATTTTCTATGGGGTGTCATAATGAATTGGCAATTTAAAGCAAAAAAACAAAATGAGTCGCTCTCATTTACTATTTCGTTATTTACTCTTTAGTTACGATTTATTTCTACTTTCCCATGGTTTCTGAACAATTTCGTATTTATTTTACACGGACAACAATAGCTGCACTCTGAATGGCTGTTGGCCTGACGTCTCCGCCATAACATCTATCGCGAAAATTAGTGAAAACGTGTGTGTTTTGTGGGATTACTTTTTCGTAACAGGCAGTAAAATCAGCGATTTTATATAGAACGGTAAGTCTTCATTTAACCATTTTTTGTAATACGTGTGGTACGAACATTTAGTAAGCTTTTATATTTGCTGTAACAAATTTTATCAAAAAAATACTTGTTTCTGATCTCATTTTGTCTAATATTTCGTTACGTTTTTTACGAATTTCGTTACGTTACGAAAAAGTACAACATAATGCTGAGTGTATACTGTTATTACCTGACTAAGCATAGTAATATTCACTACTTAATTTATTTCAAAAAATATAGAGCGTTAATAACAAAAGGATTGAATACTATCTGCTTTACAGAAGTGCCACCAGCAAAAAATTATCAAATCATTTAGATTACGTTTTTATGTGATTACTTCTTTTGTTTTTTTAGGAATGCCGCCAAAAACCAATGCCGAAAGGCAAAAAGCTTACAGAGAACGACTCAAAATGGATAAATATGATGGAACAAAAATAATTTTATTAAAATAGTATGAATGATTACTCCCTTATTTTTATTTCTAACCCCTTAATATTACCCCGTATTTGGGTGCATACTTACAAATATTTCGAATTGAATAAATGAAGAGCATTCACAATAATTCGCCAATGTATAACAAGCCTTATGGCCTTACTATTTCGTTACTACTGTTTCGTTACGTACATTTTTTTTGAGAAATACTCTCATATAATTTAGTATGGTATGATAGTGATCATTATGTGGCAAATTTTATTCGTAACTATCCTAGATATCTATACATTAAACAACTATACAACAATATCGATTAAATTTTACATTTACCGCTTTTGAAACTTACTGCACTCCCGATTGCAAAATTAACAAACACTAGAAAAGTCGAAACTGATCACATATAAAAACTATATTTACAATGACGAAGTTTAGTTTAAATATGAGAAACATTATTTAGGATCACACACACTCCTTTTAGAATAAGGTATAATTAAGAACTGTAAAATAATACGAGAAATAATTTTAGGGCACGCCACACTCCTCCCGGTATAAGAAATAATAAATAAGAAGCAACCATCAGCTCAGTTCACTTTCTTGCCTCTGCGATCCCTTATTCACTTAAAAATTTATATAGATGACCCAAGCTGAACTGTCCCACCAAACTCAATGACAGGGGGGCGCTACGATCGTTCAACTATATGGTTTCCAACATGGCAAAAATCGGAACCAGCGATCCGGTATTGACGGTGGCGCCCCACTGTCAATGTCATCGACAGGACAGTTCACTATTTTGGAACTATAAACACCAATTAAATGCTGACCCTAGCAGTCACATAATTTCAATTAGCAATAAACAATTAAAATTGCAAGTAATGGTAATTGATAAACAAGATTCTAGAAACTGTTAGAGAAATAATGGTGCCGAAAAGGAACAATATCTTTACGACGCGCGGTCCCGCGGATCACAACACAATTATACAAAAGATAGATTTAAAATTTTATATAGTCATAATCTTAAAGATTAAATATACATTATTATATATCAATCTTACCTAATAAAAAATAAAATCGGTATACATACTCTTTTGCTTCCTAAAAATTATGCATAAAATTTTATATGTAAATGTATAAATGTCCTTGAAATTAAGTTTCAAATTAAAAAATAATATAGAACATACCTATTGTATTAAAGAAATTATATACTAATGAATACCTATTGAAGAAAAAGTCGACAATTTCATACTTCAATTTAACCCCTATTTGGTATCATCCCACTGACTATAATCACAAGGGTATATTATGAGAAGCCTTTTCTCAGCATCATTGTGACAAAACAAGTAAGTACTTGGTGACAATAAAGTCATTGTGTCAAAAACATACCAACCGAATTAAGAACCTCCCCCTTTTGTTGAAGTCTGATAAAAAGGGACAAGAACGCAGCTGTCAAATATTTCATTTAGTAAACCACGTTAATATTTTACAATTCAAATGTACTATAGCGAGTGAATGATTGCCACTATTTACTATTATTTAAAAAGTCATATTGGCTAAGATCTAATTTAATGCCTTAAAATCTAACGCACTTTAAAATGGTAAAATTCGTTCTTAGACGAATTTAAATAAATAGGTATAACTTACCATATCATTAGTATCAAACTAAGCACTATGATTGTACTTTACGAACGAAATACAAAATCTCGTGGGTATCACACAAAACAATTCGTAAACGGTTATGTGGTCTGGAGCGAATTACCGGGCCCAAAAGTTACAATTATATTCAATACAAATATTTACAGTGAATCAGGTTCTCAGACATTAATACAAAACAACAGTATATTTCTCACTTAGAACTATGAAGGGACATAAATACAGAGTAATGAATAATGCTTTTTAATTATTAGGTAGAATAATATTTTAAAAAATGCCAATACATACTGTACCCAGTAGGATTAGAAGATATTTGGATGGATAAAGTAGTATCCAAATCTTATGAATATGTAATACATATTTGAACTATTTCGTAAGATGGTTGTGCGATACCGTTATTTGACCAAGTGAAGTTCGTATGTACACATTATCAACGAAACTACATATTTAAATCTACGAATAGTAAATAATTATACCTAGAATCAAGCGCAAAATACACCACTATTTTGTTTAATTAAATGCCCCATATATAGAAAGGTTCCAGGTTATTTTGGCAATTTAAACAATACGTAAATTTAACATATATATCGAATGGAGTGTTACATTATTCCACTCGTTTTTCCGACTATTAAAATTCCGAATAATCGTTTCGCCGATGACAATTCCTACGAGAATTTCAATTTTAATTATAAGACCACATCTTATAATTTACAACTGATAAAATAGAGTTTATTTTGCTATCATATAGTAATAAATAGAATAATAGTGTGATGTACTACATTAATTTAATTATTGGCAAATATATAGACATACAGTTATAAATACATATAAATATGTACGTTCTGTTATGATTACCATAATACTCCATTAATTATAGTCTTTTTCACGTAAGATGATCCGTATGACACTTCAAGGTTATCCATATTACGCATACTACATATGCAGAATATTTTTGAAAAAATATTTGTATTTTATTAGCAATTTAATAAAAAAAAAAAAACTACTTGTCTTGAAATAATATAGTAAAATCTGAGTTTATTGATTATATTTTAATTAAATACGATGTAAAAATATTTTTTATTTAATGTACGCAATGTGTGAAACGGAATAGATTTAGTGCTGGGGTATTTGTTGTATAACAAAATCGATTATTTCCGCGGTTCATTAATCGATTGCAGTGAATGCTTAGTTATTAAAAACATCACAAAAATCAACTATATTTTTCGATTTTTGACTTTAATAAACGCATTGAAAATAAATTAATAGTTTTTAATTTAAAGAAACAGAACTAGTACTTTTTAGGAATCGTTTTTTTGAACACGAAGTCCATGGAATTTGAATATTATCAATAAAAAATTGTTACAATAATATTTGTAATTAAAAAAAACATGTTTTTTGTTAAATAACACTTGTACAAAATATTTCTCTAAAAGTAGGTTTTACTAACTCTTAGAAAAAAATCGATAGATAAATCGCTATGGTTTAGCTATGTGACATCTCTATAACTTTCAAACTCGAAACGTCATACGAATCATCTTAGGTGAAAAGGACTATAAGTATGAAAGGCGCTGACACTACGTTTTCATCATAGTTGTAGGCGACATTTATTATAGTCGTCTTGCTTTATAAACAGGTGAAGTTAAAATGAGACTTAATTTATTATCATTCAAGACATATAATCATACTATAGCCTGACCAGGAACATAAAAACCCTGGCATAGAGGCGCTTCAATTGCATTTGATAGTGCAACACTGAGTACAGTCGTACCTGTGTTAAATTAATAGGCTAAAACTTTATGTATCAGGATTTAGGATTACGGGCTAATTTGATATTTTCATAAATTAACGAAAAAATATTATTATAGGTAACCTGGTTTAAATAAATTAAATGAAACCATCAATCGAGCTAGTAGGATTTATTTTATTATTCATCAATAATCAAATTCAGAACTTGAATATTCAACTGCAATGTCTGCTCATGAACGCTTCAAACTCGGTACTTCTTTCCCAATTCCATAAAATTCAACACTTAGAAAGTGACAAAAAAAAATTAAAATAGGTAGTTGAAACAAACCACAGCTAATTTTCATAGTGGACTGTACTATACGATAAACATGTCAGTCAATTTGACAACCTTTGTCGGAAACATTATTCAATGAAAATATTGTCCGAACCCTTAGTATTTCTCTTCGACAAATACTTTAACACATTGTGAACCACTTTTCTTTCACGTCTATAAAAAGATTTTAGCAATTTAATTCACAAAATTAATTACGCACATTTGAAATAAAGTTTGTTTACACTTTGACAGCAATAGACTGACATGCAAGGTGACATGTCAATGAAGTTTTCAGTTACTGTTGCCATTAAAAGAAATTAGTACCATTAGTTTTCCGCAACATGGCGAGGGTTTTTATGTTCCTGGTCAGGCTATATTAAAATAGGTAGTTGAAACAAACCACAGCTAATTTTCATAGTGGACTGTACTATACGATAAACATGTCAGTCAATTTGACAACCTTTGTCGGAAACATTATTCAATGAAAATATTGTCCGAACCCTTAGTATTTCTCTTCGACAAATACTTTAACACATTGTGAACCACTTTTCTTTCACGTCTATAAAAAGATTTTAGCAATTTAATTCACAAAATTAATTACGCACATTTGAAATAAAGTTTGTTTACACTTTGACAGCAATAGACTGACATGCAAGGTGACATTTCAATGAAGTTTTCAGTTACTGTTGCCATTAAAAGAAATTAGTACCATTAGTTTTCCGCAACATGGCGAGGGTTTTTATGTTCCTGGTCAGGCTATATAACAATACATTCAACATCGACTTATCTAAGATAGTTATTTGTAGTTTACTTTCTAAAGTTGCTTTCACGGTAATGAAGAGACAAAATAGTATTCTATGTAACATTTAATTTTACAAGGATAAAATAACATCTTTCAAGAGAGCTAGTTTAAACCTTCACTCGCCATCAATAATATTATTTACGGCCTATATTCGTATTTTACGTGTACTTAAATAAGAAGGAAAGGCTTGATCTAGTCGACTTCATGTAAAACATAATAATAGAAAAGTATTTGGGGGCAAGGCAACGGCGGATGAAAACGCGGTCGGGTCTGGGGGCGTTAAAGGTTCAACGACCAGAGCAACCTACCACACATTTCTACTTTTTCTAAAGTAGCTTTTGCCCGCGTAAAATAGAGTTTGTCACATATCGTTATAAATATTCATCTACACTCAACATCAAATAAACCGCACCTTCCGCGACGCGAACTTTAAAGATTTTCTTCTGACACAATCATGGTACCCCAACAATATTGGTGTTATTTGAAAGCCCAATAAATATCCTTAAAGAAAAATACATTTCATTTCTAAATAAATGATTAACATATACCATAAATGTGACTTGAAAATAGACCTCACTTTGGGCTCACCTCTGGGATCAATTAGACCAATTTTTATGGTTATAAAACCAAATAAACAATATTGGCTTAATTAAGTAACTTGTGCTGTTGTGATGTGACGTTTATTATATCATGAATTGCACGTTTAATCTACCTATCATCTCAGTCCGCTGAGAATCCACCCAATTTCAGTATCTTTGATACATAGCTTAATGTAGCTTTCATACCGCCGTATCAATTTGTTACTCGCTCTAATCTACACAGACCGGTGATGTACCAGCCACTACTTATCTGTGCAAAAATATAATATGATGTGTCTTTATTTCTCTAAGAGAAAAGTCTGCCTCGTGTTACACAAATAAGACATTCTTCTAAACCAAGGAGTCTACTGTTTATATAGCAGTCTACTTCTACGCATTGGGTTATCATTATAACCATCGACGTATCATGATGACATCACGACATATCCAGTTTGTAAAATTAGCGCCTTCAAGGCAATAATCGTGCCATAACTAATCAGGTAATCAGGAACCAAAGTAATGTAATTTTAATACCGACACGTGTCGTGTATCTTTAAATAAAGAAGATCCACGACGTTATCCGAACCAATTTACTGGACAATACGCAGCACTACCTTTTCGTCAAAATTAACTTCTTCTTCCTCGGGTTCATCTTCTTCCTGCAACAAACGAAGAATTTTTTTTTTAATTGTGCATAAATACCATAATTTAATATCGAGATAGCAATATATTATAATGACTAAAGCTTTGAATTATGTTACAACAGCGACATAGATAATGTTTCTCGAAATCTTTAAGGCACTTGTGTACATTGGAATCATTCAGTATTAAATTGGTTAAGATAAATAAATTATGTTTCGGTTTTAGGATATTTTATTATGTTTAGGTTTTTTATTTTTCAATTTATGTATGTGTTTTTCTGTATAATGCGATCTAAATAAAGATATTGTTCCTTTTTTCTATACTCACGTCAAAGCCGAAGCAGGTCTCAACGTCGTTCTCGAGCTTGATGCTCTTGGGGAGCTCGCGGGCCGGCTGGATAGCCTTCTTCAGCCGGTCCTTGTACAGCTTCCTCGGCATAACGGGCCCCTCGTCGTCATCATCCTCCTCTTCGTCTTCTAAGGAAACAAATTAAGATGTCTTCAATGTAGATTTCACCTTTTATCGGGCTTAGGAAATATCGATTAATCCTTAACCTGCCGGTTGACCAGAAAGTTCATATTTCCTTGGCACACTCACAAATAATGTGGCTTTCTATTGGTAAATTTTGAAAATCAGTTCAGTAGCTCTAGAGATTACAAACTCCTAAACTAAAAAAAAATTGTAAGAGCCAAAGCACATGATGCGTTGCAGCGGAGCCGGAGCGATGTCGCTGCGTCATCTCACACCGCGCCGCGACGCGCGATTTGGCGAAATCTTTGCGGTGCGGCGCCGCAACGAATCGTGTTCTTTGGCTATAACATTAATGTAGATTACCTTGTTCATAGATGAACTCTGGTGGCACCACAGCCACTTGATGCTCGGTGCCGTCTTCCAGCTGGATGACCTCAAGCACGACGTACTGCTGGTTGTCGTCCTCCACCGAGACCAGTTCGCCGCGCCGCAGGTCGTTAGAGCTCAGCCGCACGATGTTCGCGCCGTCTTCCTCTCGCTCTTCGTCCTCCTGCATATCCTCGGTTTGCAAATCCTAAACAATACAACGTTTGCGTGAATAATTTTGAAGTTGTTCAGAATAATGAAGCGCAGCATATTGTTAATTTAACTTAATTATAGCACCAGCTACTGAACTTATAACAAGGCAAACAAGTCGCAGAAGCATTGCAATGGCAGATGGTAAACAATATACAATAAAACTCTTGATCTTAAAATAAAATATTTCTTGCGTGTAATTTTTGACATAGTAAAAAAACTGATACAACATGTCAATCTAAAGAGAAGATTTTTTTATTTTTTTATTTATGTCTTTCGCCGCAAGTTATGTCTTTCGCCGCAAGCTATGGGTTTTTTTAACAATTAAAAACGCTAAAGCTATGGGTTTTTTAACAGTTTAAACAAGGGCTCTTTACTATTTATTATTATTATATTTAATATTATTCAGTCCATTTCCAATACTAAACACAGGCCACCTCAACTGACTAATTAAATAGTACTCATACGAAATGGAAAAGTACTGCGTGCGCAATTCTGTCCCTAACTCAGCCTACGTTCTTATAATTATTAGTAGGATTCAAGGTCACCGAAACATTCCGTTTAATAGTGACGGAGTTTCGCGTTTCTGAGTCATTGGTTTTCAAATTTATATTCTTACGCGCTGCGCATGTATTCAATCTTATTTCGCATTAGCAAGTTATACAAATTTCTGAAATTGCGGAAATATTTTTTTATTGCTTGTGCAATATTCGAAATTATCTATAGTAAAAATGATTCGCCATAATCATTGTTTTGCGAAGTCGCTTAGCCGTTAAAATTGCAAAATAAAAATAAAATTTTGCAACTACAAAAATATTCACAGCCACTATGTTAATGTTGTTTGTGTGCCAATAACAAATGTCCATCTGCAGTCGTACATCAAAAAGACAACGGTTAGATAACAGAGCATTGCATCTACATAAATACATTTTATAAACTGGACCAACCAGAGTGTGAAACTTAAATGATACCATTTAATTTTATAGCTGCCAGCCATAGCGGGAATATTTTCAAATGATCACTCACTAAGACTATCCAGGTGTGAAACAAATATCGATTTTATATTTTAACGCAAGCTTCTTGCATATTCACCTTACACCAATAGTGCTGGATTAATACGCCAAACTTATTCTTCAGTTAAAAGTTATCCGTTTGATAAATAAATGAGCAATAAAAACTAATCTAAAAGGAAAATATTTTATGTGCTAGCAATTCTTTTTGGTGACCCCTCAAGACGTGATGCTCCAAGCAATTGCATAATTTGCTTATCGGTTAATCCGGCACTGCATTACACGCAGCCTTCTTAGTGAGTGTCAGTTTATACTCATTTCATTTTATTGTATTAACATGTATTTTTCAAACATTCCAGCTACAGTGGCAGACGAGATAATCATAACATTAAACATATCATACCTCCAGGTTGTCGACGTATTTCACTTTCCGCTGGCGGCCGAGTTTCAGAGCCAGGGCCCTTTCTTGGTGTCCCGAATCGGGATCGTGCACGGCTAGGTGCCGGATCAGGTTGCCTTTGTGGGCGAAACTACGTTGGCACTCGTGGCACGTGTGTGTCTTCTCTTTGGGCGGCTTCGGCACGTAGTTCGGGTTATGGTAGAGGTTCTGGTGCCGCCTCAGCAGTTGCTTTTGCCTGTTGGACGGGGGATATATGAAAGCACCGATGGATGCAGAGATGCTGTAAAAACTATTTCGTTCGGGACATATTATTAAGACGAAACTAAGACTTAAGAAAAATTATGAATGCTATTTGAAAAGTGTTTTAAGTCTAGTGTTGTGTGTGGTTTCCTAAAGGAATCTATGCCATAAACTCAAATAAAACTAAATTTATATTCAAAAGTAGTTCAAAGACTTGTAATCTGAATCCTCATTATCCTGGTCATAAAGGAACATACCTGAAGGACTGGTCGCATTCATCGCAGTCGAATGGCTTCTCATCAGTGTGCTTGAACATGTGAGACTTGAGGTGGCGCATAGTCGTCGAAGCGTAGGGGCAAAGCTCGCACTTGAAACACTTCTCGCCCTCATGTGTCTGTGAATAAATGACACATTAAAACCTGTTTATTTTCACCAGTGCATCTAGATAAAGGATAAGAAAAATAAATATTTTTTACTCCTGACTATAAACATCTTCGCTGACATAATCCCGACGCACTAGCAAGTTGAAGTGGCAATGGGCAAGGCACATAGTACGCAGAACTGACGGCCGATGAGACAGCAAGGTTCTGGAGTGGATGCCAAATACCGGAAAGCGAAGCGTACTGTCTATCAGACATCTCAGGAGATGTAGTCGCGCGTGTTTTGTTTTCGATGCAAACTCGCGGAGATGAACAGGCCTGGTCCTATGGCTAAAATGATGATGATTTAGAACTTACCTTGTTGTGAATCTTGCAAGAATATCGGTCGGGGAACGACTTGCCGCAGCGCTTGCACTTCAGCGGCTTGTCAGACGTGTGCAGCTTCTGCACGTGTATTCGCAGGTCGGTCTTGCGACCGCACTTGGCCGGGCACAGCTCGCAAGCGTACACCGGTTTCTCGGACACTGTAACAAAGGATATTTTGAAATCTAGGAACATCACAAATTAAGAATCATGGTAGGTTAGTTGTTACGATATTTTACAGAGCACCGTTTTGTTATGTTTGGGCACTTGAAGACAAATTGAGTCAAATATTATAAACTATAGTTTGCTATGGATGCCCTTAATTTCTGTACGTCTGGGTCATTTGGTGGGTTTAATAAAAAATTCAGAAACAATTCCAATGTTTGGAGGATAAATAGACATAAGTTAAATTTTATAAAAAAAAATAACACCGACTCCAAAAAACCTACACTAAAAAGCAGAATAATAATTACTAATTACCTACTTATTTATTAGGACGAATTATTAATATTTATGTAGGTATACCATGATTGATACTTTTGGAGTCGGTGCAGGCAAACTTTACATGTTTCATAATCTTGGCACCGACTCCAGAAGTATCAATCATGGTATACCTACATAAATATTAATAATTCGTCCTAATAAATAAGTAGGTAATTAGTAATTATTATTCTGCTTTTTAGTGTAAAAAAAAAAAAAAAAAAACATACGGGTCGAATTGAGAACCTCCTCCTTTTTTTGAAGTCGGTTGAAAATGAGATAACAACTACAAAATGGGACTGCACCGACAAAATGAGACAACACCAGCAACATAGGACAATGCTAAAAAACGAGACACCACACACACCGTTACCTTTATTATTATTTGTAAGCTTTGGTGCTCACGGGTCAAAAGTGGCCCGGTCCCGGTCGGTTTTAAGCGCAAAATAATCGACAAAAGTGAAAGTGGTGCACTTGCTGGATCAAGTCTCTTGACTATATCATGGGATGTAGATAGAGACCATCCCCAGCCTGTACACAGGCGCTACTGCTGTTATTTAATTGGAGCGTGTAGTTCTAGCGGCTCCAACAGCTCGCCACAAAGCTGCCCTGCGGAGTTTATTATACACAGGTCATCACAAAAATCGACCCTCCCGCGACAAGCACTTTCAAACGTATGCATCCCCACTTCCCACCAATATTGGCACCATTTAAAAGGCTAGTTCTAAACTAATTCATTTCATTAAAGGAAAGATTTTTACCCCAAAAATGTGTCTGTAGAAGAATCCAGTCACTTCTTCAAAAAATAGGTAGTTACACTTGAGCCAACTTTTATGGCTATAAAACTGTTAAGTTGGGATTAATCGCTATCCATCTGTTAAGGACACGTGAGATCATTATTTGGTTTTATAACCATAAAAATTGGTCTAATTGATCCCAGAGGTGAGCCCAAAGTGAGGTCTTTTTTCAAGTCACATTATTTTATGGTACCTGTTGTTTATAAAAAAAAATTATGTGTTTTTCTTTAAGTTTATTTATTGGGCTTTTAAATAACACCAATTGTCACCGTGATTGTGTCAGAAGAAAATCTTTAAAGTTCGCGTCGCGGAAGGTGCGATTTATTTGATGTTAAGTATATTATTACCATTGTGGATGAGCTTGTGCGCCTTGAGCGAGTTGGACTGCGTGAAGCACATGTTGCAGTGCTCGCACTTGTACGGCTTCTCGCCCGTGTGCGTGCGCAGGTGGCGCTTCAGCTTGAACGTGTCCGGGGACGCGTACGTGCAGTTGGGGCACTGGTAGACAAAATGAGACAATGTTACACAATCAAAATCAAAAATATTTTATTCAGTTTAGTTAGACTAGTGGTTCTTAACCGGTGGTCCGCGGACCACTGGTGGTCCCTGGAGGCATTCCAAGTGGTCTACGAAGACATCGTAATAAACAAGTGATGTGACGTGATGAGTCGAGTCAACATAACGCAAACAGCGCACAGTGGGCGAGAAATCAACCTCCCATTTTTTTCAAAATAGGATTTTGAAAAAAAAAGTGGTCCCTGACAAGACATAAATTTGGTAAAATGGTCCCTCGTGACGTCATGACTTAAAGGTTAAGAACCACTGAGTTAGACCAATATTTTAGCACTTGTTTATGAACGTCAAAAATAATAAATAATAATAAAAAAAACTACATGTCGCCTTATCTTTTGGGCCCATCTGAACATGAGCCTATCGCAAAATTGTTCTAGAAAACACAATATAGAGATGTGGTAATAGGATTGTCGTTGACGCTAAGCGCTCCTGCACACGACGCCGCTACCGCGCCGCCGCCGCGCCTTTGCATTGTTTATACGCGCCGCGTGAACACCGCTGCCGCGCCGCCGCGTAAATTATGATTTGATGGCGCGGTGGCGGTTTTACTCGGTGCGTATGAACAGTGTAGCGGCGCGGTGGCGGCGTCGTGTGCAGGAGCCCTTCAGTGTAGCAATGTCACTGGTAAAATAAATGTCAGTTGTTTTACCTGATAGGGTCGCTCGCCAGTGTGGCAGCGGACATGGCGTCGCAGTTTGGACAGCTCCACAGAAGCGTAGTTGCACTCAGTGCACTTGTGGGGCTTCTCGTGGGTGTGCTTGTAACGCACATGTCGCACCAGCTCACCTGTAAACACAACGCAATGTAACAAACTTGCCAGTATAAAATAAATTCCGAGTTTATTTGGGTAGCCAAAGAGGCTGTGTGCCGACTCAAAGTAGTTTAAAGTCCATGCTAATATATTTTTACAGCTACCATGTAAACCAAATCAAACGACCTACTTTAAACAAAAATCGGACAAACAACTTAGTAGATGCGAGTTGAATACCTTTGCCTAAATAACATCAACGGATAATAACAAAATTAATTTTATTTAATGATAAACTTACCAGAAGTGGTGAACGGATTGTTGCAATACTTGCAGATGTGTGGCTTGAAGCCATTATGCATGTTCAAGTGGTTCTGCAGGGAGGCAGTGGTCTTGAAGCCCCGCTCGCAGACCGTGCATTTGTGAGGACGGTCCTCCGAGTGCGTCCTCATGTGACGCAACAGCAAATAGCTAAGATCACAGATTAAGATTGAGTCAAGTAAAAAACAATCATAATACAATAAGTGAGAATACAACAAAAAAAGATTTGCCAAACTGGATGAAGTCAGTCAGCTCAAAGTAATCATACATTGTGCGGGAAGCATTCAGTAACCTGACTGCTGACTGCATCCATTGTGACAAATCCTTTATGTTTATACTTACCGCCTGTGACTGGTGTAGGCACAGAATGTGCAGGTGAAGTGAGGACGCACGTACTTCCTCTTGGATGAACCTGCAGGCTTCGCGCCTCCAGCGTTGTCATCGTTACCTTCGTCGGTGCCCTCACCGTTTGTCTCTTCATCCTCGAAGTTGTATACATCGTCATTTCCTTTCTCCTCCTCTTCCTCCGCATTCAGTTTTTCCTACAAGAAACAAATAAAATATTCAAACAAAAATGATTGATTTTGAGGCAAAATCGCTATTTCATACAGAAATTGCCACCACATGGCATCACGCACGATGGAGCAGAATAAATTTTATTTATCTTACCTGATCAACCTTTATGTCAATATTGACATCAGGTTTGTTGTCTTCTTGTACAACAAGCACATAGCTAACTTCACCATTGCTGCTCTCCGATGGCACCAAAGTAACTGTTTGGTAGCTATCAGCGTCGACCAACATTTGTTCATCCTCTGCTATGTTCTGTAGCAAATGTGTAATTTTTGATAACAGTCCATTTTAGTTGAAAAATTGAATCATTACTAATAATGTTTGGAAATGGTAATGTAAGTAACTATTAATCATATTAAAAGGAAATACAATAATGTGCCTCGATGACCACTTTGTTTGTAAAATAAATAAACAATAAACCTACAAAAATACAAAGAATTTGATTTGCATTTTTTTTTTAAGATTATTACACTTACTTGTTATACTGCATATCTGGATTATAAGTGTAGATTTATTTGTTGATCACACAATAATAAAACAAATCACTTTATTAATGAGTTGGAGTTAACTTTGCAAAATATCACCAATATCTACAGAGAAATCCTCATTGCAGCTCATTTCAGGTACTTTCTAAATTATTTTATATTATTTGCTGCTATTTAACTAATAATAAAAAATACACACCTCAGGCTCTTCAGTCACAGCAGTAGGCAATGAAACAATGCTCTGGTTATCACCAGCCGGCTGGTAGTAGTATCTTCCTTCTTCGTCCACAAAATAAGTCACTCCCCCGTCCTGGTCTTCTTCGACATTGGTATTGACTATAAAATTGATTCAATTGGATTATCACATCTTAATTTAAAACAGAATATCACTTTATTTTAATATAATAAATTACCTTGAAGAGCAACAGTAGGTGTCTCTTGCACGTATGTTGATATAATTGGTTTGGTTTTCCCTTTTTTAGGGGGAGGCGTAGACGCCATGGCTAAAACAAAATAAAAATTTGATAGTAATGTAGTCTTTCGGTAAATTACAAGACTGCTGATTGATATAGTTGTCAATTATAAATATCATCAACACTTAGGCCACGGTACTTAGGCCATACTTAGCACCGTATAATTTGTTGTACGTGATTATGTTCATTAAACTAATTAATGGAATTATCCATTTGGTTTTTTTTTGTTTTGGATTTCACTTGAATTACCACTGAATTATGTATAAACTCAGCAGAATGCCGAAACTTCAAGCTAAAGTAACTCATATAAAAATGTCTTGGTGAGACTGGTGTTTCTCATTTTAGTTGAAATGTAGCATGAAGTATAATATTGATCACATCAGTCAGACTGACAAATATTTAACTACAAAACTAAGTTAGTGCGTGAGGTGTGGAAGCAGCACAGGATGGGCGACATTATGACACGACACAGCACACAAGTCGAACACATCTGAAGTCTCGCCACGGTAATACTATCTATATTATTACCGTGGTCTCGCTGACGTTTAATGTCACAAAAAGACCCACCCGTGGCTCCCATACCTCAGCTCAGGCACTCTCAGTTCTGACCTACACCTACCTATGATTTTTTTTTTGTGGATAAAAATGTGGATGGGATAATAGCTTCAAATAAAATATTTATCGAAAATGTAGCTTTCATATTGAGACATTATTTTTCCCCAACATGTGCTCGATATTACTTCCATGTAATATGACACACTAGCTTTGAAATTATGACCTTTTTTGTGGTCAACTGATTCACAAGTGAAAAATATGTAAACAGTGGTAGGATTGTATCACTAGTTATCATCTTGAATAATACAGCTAACAAAAAAAAGCTAGATGAGGAAGCAGGTTATTTGACTAAGCCCTTAACCTAGAGACAGGGAACTCAGTAGAATTACTCAATTAATTTCACTTCTGATTTCTGCTAGAATAAGTAAAAGAAACTATAGCATTATTGGCTTTAGTTTCTTTCTTGCGTATTCCATGATGCATGCAAAGTTACTTGGAATCTAGAGAGATAGAAATTACTATAAAATTCTGGAATTATTCTCCACCTCTGATTTTCATCAATGCAACTCCTGTATTTTCAAGATTTACAGATTGGCCTTCAAGGACACCCACTAATGGAGGTTTAGCAGCCAGAGGGGATAGCCTATTATCTTGGAAACAGCATTGAATTTAATCAGAAAGATAAATAAATACACTATCCTCTGCGCCAGTAATAAAACTGTGTTGCGGATAGATATGCCTTGTAAAAATATATTGACTAATGAGCTTTATACTATACTAGCTGACCCGGCGAACTTCGTACCGCCTTAGCGTAGAGATTTTCTTAATATTTTTTTCCGTAAGAACCATCCTTGGACTTCCACAAACATTAAAAAAAAAGAATTATCGAAATCGGTTCAGCCGTTCTCACGTGATGCCGTGACAACGCGAAACGGGTTTCATTTTTATATATATAGATTATATGGGCGATTCTCTGTAAGCTCGTAATCGGCTGTCCCGGCCGATTTTTTCAAAAAGCAATTATAATATTTAGAAAAAACACACTCGTAATAAAACTTTAACCCCAAAACTTTACGGGCCCTTTGTTTTTAGAACCATAACTATTTTTAGTTTTTTTCTAGACTCGATTAAAGCCCGAAAAATACAGTCCCCTGGCTGTCCCCATCACTGCATTTCCGCCTAGAAATGAGATTTACGAAGAAGATATTGAAACTACATACATCTGGCAGCTCATAGCATAAAGAATAATAATGAAATTATATTATTTTCGTAAAACAAGCTCTCATTACCAATTATATTTATTTAGTAAACTCCTGTAAACTTTGTCCCCAGAATTTTAATACAGTCCCCTGCCAAAAATTTTAATTCATAATATAAAAAAACTATAATAGCTACGATGTTTTTTTTGAGTGAAATGAAATGCAATTGCTATAAAATAGGCAACCTTGCCGAATGCGGCGTTGAGATGCCTATTTTTTTAGTGTCAGAGCGTCATTTGTGAGGTGAACACGCGCTTGAATCGCCACCCCACACAGTCCTCTGGTAAGTCATAATATGCATGTTAATTACTTAATAATCTCTAAATAAAGTATAAATTGATATAATATTTATGTCTCAATTGATCGGTAGATTCTTAAAACACTATTTAAAATCATTTTCGTAAATATTGTGAAATCTAGCCGAAATACACAGTCCCCTGGCAACAAAATATGACACATTATGTTAAAAGACCTAACTAAATCTCGAGCACAGTATATGGGCGTATTTGCGTTAAAACGTAAAACGGTACATTAAACGACTTTTTCTAACTGATTTATTATTGATATAGCACATGATAACAATTAAAATAATTACATGCATAAATAAAGAGAGTAATCGCTTAAAATATTATATTTACGTTGTCATTTAAGTCTCTTTACGTTGAACAATATACATCAAATTATAGAAATATGCCGACGTAAAAGGGCAATGCGTAAAATCTCAAAATATATAAGAAAAATATGAAAATTGATAACAGCAGTAGCAAAAGCATTACATGTTAAGGCTAAATGTGAAATTTCATTAAATTCGTTTTAGTAGGTCAGAAGATATGACCCAAAAATATGGTTCTGGCCACTAAAATGGCTCTCCTGTAAAATTTACTTTTTTCACTTACGCCAGTATACGTAGGAGCCATCGATTTTGTTTACTATTGATTTGCTATAAAATAATAAGTAATTGATCAATTTAAAATGACTTTTTCTTAAAGTATAACAGTCCTCTGTCTCAATTAACAGTCCCCTGTCATGATTTCTTGGAAAATCGCTAATAACTCGGAAAATATTAATAATTTCAGTGGGACTCCTTATCTAACTAAAATAATAGTCAATTTTCTTTGAAATGGAACACGGTTTTTTGGAAAATGTTAAAAATAATTGCCAGGACAGCATTTGTATGGGACCTGTACGAGCTTACAGAGAAATGCCCATATATTTACAAAACTGAGGACAGATGACTAAAAGGTATTAAACCTTTTTAGTAATAATACATTCCCTAACTATTTAATAACAAAAACAAGTGAAATTGATATTTTATCACTCTAGAATTGCCTTTTTAAACTGTTTTACGCATACCTGTAAAACGCAACAGCAGTACACAGTAGGTATACTTTGCAAACCTAGACCTAACCACAGGTCATCCATTTTATTTCATGATCAATCAATAAAATTTAGTGAATTTATTTTTACCAGGATAACCTTCAAGTCAAAAAAGCTAAGTAAGGATGTCCTATATATATCTATTGGAAACAGTAGCTATAGTACAACAGTAGGGCATGTACAAGAATTTCTTACCAATGTATTGATTAAGTAGGTAGTTAAGGTAAATCACCTTCACAATAAATGAGTAGGTAGGTATTAATACGCAGAGGGCATACAAGGCGCGATACGTTATTGATTTTAATAAACTGCGTAAATGTACCTTGATGTAGGTCAAAGTAAGAACTAATTCCTTTTTTCGTAGGTGCTTACCTACATATTTATACAGCGAATCATGGACCTATCACCGAATGAATATCATCAGGAGAAATCAAAGTAAGCTGGCCTAAGCGATACCGTTAATACCTATTATACCCAATTTATGTACCCTACTTACTTAGCGGCAGTAGAACTCCCTGTTCAATATTGTGTTTTCCGACAAAAGGCTTTTGATAATGATATAAACACAAAAAATAAAGTATGCACGACCGAAGAAACTTTCGTTTCGAATCTACCTTACAACCACGGTACACTGGAAGTAAAGGTAGGAATGAATAAATACGGCCGCCATCTTATGAACGAGCCGTATTTGAGCACATCGACTGAAACAATAGTTATGAAAACTAGAGATCAATCACAAAATATGATCAACAAATTGCACCGATAGATACAACAAATTAGCGCCACAAAAATGAAAACTATTGAAATACAACACAGACGGCGCTGTAGGCGCTGTCGCCAACGCCAAATGAAAATTATTTTCTATAGAATTTCACACAAGGATTACTAAATACAATAGGGTCAGGAATTACGTTACATGCGAGATATCTGCAAAGCTTACCTGATAAGTTTGTAACTAGTTTTGGGCTTGATAAATTAGCAACTTTCAGGTAAAAGAATTCACTCACAAGTAAAACTTCTTAAATTTCTCAGTGAGGGCGTTCCGATCAATGCGATCGTGACGCCAAAATGGCGGTCGATTTACGAAGAAATTCCAAACTAGGTCCTAATGTTGCCAGTAAAAAAATTGTGCTGAAGAACCATAAACAAATATATTTTAGTTGTAGAGGTTTGGATTAGAGCCCTTTAAGCCAAGAAATACTACCATTGTACTGTAATAGTAGTTTTTTTGCCTAACTTAATTCCAAATAATTTCACAGTACAGAAAATGTTTCTCTCGCTAATATTAAATATTAATTAAAATGTTTGTCAAATTGTATATCAAGCCTGATATCATTACTTAAGTAAAAAAACAGTTTTGGTTTGTAAGAAAGGTATAAAGCTAATTAACGAATATCTAACTGAAAAGCAGATTTGAAATGGAATTAGAATAAATTAAAACTTGCTTGTTTGGTACCTTTCTGCGCTTACTGGCTGACAATTTAGCCAGAGTTAGCCAGGTGAAGAAGCCATGGTGAAGCTGAGGAGCGACTCACCTTCAGCTACCAGCTAAGTACAGTTATTAGGTATAGCCTGACCAGGAACATAAAAACCCTGGCATAGAGGCGCGTCAATTGCATTTGATAGTGCAACACTGAGTACAGTCGTACTTGGTGTTAAATTAATATGCTAACTTTATGTATTAGGATTCAGGATTACGGGCTAATTTGATATTTTCATAAATTAACGAAAACATATTATTATAGGTAACCTAGTTTAAATAAATTAAATGAAACCATCAATCGAGTTGGTAGGATTTATTTTATTTACATCAATAATCAAATTCAGAACTTGAATATTCAACTGCAATGTCTGCTCATGAACGCTTCAAACTCGGTACTTCTTTCCCGATTCCATAAAATTCAACACTTAGAAAGTGACAAAGAACTTTAAAATAGGTAGTTGAAACAAACCACAGCTAATTTTCATAGTGGACTGTACTATACGATAAACATGTCAGTCAATTTGACAACCTTTGTCGGAAACATTATTCAATGAAAATATTGTCCGAACCCTTAGTATTTCTCTTCGACAAATACTTTAACACATTGTGAACCACTTTTCTTTCACGACTATAAAAAGATTTTAGCAATTTAATTCACAAAATCAATTGCGCACATTTAAAATAAAGTTTGTTTACACTTTGACAGCAATAGACTGACATGCAAGGTGACATGTCAATGAAGTTTTCAGTTACTGTTGCCATTAAAAGAAATTAGTACCATTAGTTTTCCGCAACATGGCGAGGGTTTTTATGTTCCTGGTCAGGCTTATAGTCCGAAAAGAGATATTATATAGGCTTTATTAATCTAAGTAGATATAAAGGAAAGGGCAATGAGGAAATAAGCCATTAATCCGATTACGCGGAAAGCCTTTGTTTATTTTACAAAAACTTAGTACTTAAGTATTAGTACAGAAATCAAATTGCGGTACTTTACTAGAGTTTATTAAACCACTTAAATAATATTTTGGTACCTAGTAAGCTATGTAATTCATTATACTCGTATCTTAATAAAAACATCTGAAATCTTTTCAAAAGTGTATTAAAATATAACAAGCGAATGCGAACTCTACTTGAATTCGAAATTTTTATTTAAGTTGTTTAGTGAACTCTTTACATGCACAGTGTTTATTTTGGTCCATTTACTTAGGTATCATCCGAATTACGAGTCTGACTCACCTTTATTTAGTATTTTTTACCTACTTAATAATATCTTAATGTTTTTTAGGCCTCTGATTTCCTAGTCGATTTAATCCGTTCCAATCAAGTTAAGCCCTTATGGTAATAGTAGGTACCTACTTAATCACCGTATTTTGAACATTAATGATNGGCTTGCTCGTTAGAGCGTTAATCTCATCTAAAACTCTCCCCCACGTGGTTATAAAGATATTAACATTATTTTGGTAAGAAAAACACTGATAATGCCTACGCCTACCTATCTTCTAAAACTGGATGAAATAATAATGTTATATTTACCTATACCTACCTTTTATCTTTACCTTATTTTTTTTAAAGGTTGATTAGTACCCACATAATTGGCTTTTGCACAAATTACTAATACTCCCGTTAGCCCTAGCTATTTATTCCAATATAGTCATAACCGGATTATACAGGGTGGTTATACATATGGAACGATAAGTGATCTCACTCGATTATTTCTAAACTATACAAGATATCGAAAAACTAGTTACTGATTCTGAAAGTGCTTCACGAGCTCTTTCAAATGGTACCAATAATAGGGTACAGATTTTGGAAGCTGGTAATATTGAATTTTTGGATTTTGTAACTTATTATTTTTTCCACCCTGTATAATCCGGCTGTATCTCCAGGTCACCTAGATAAATTCCATAGCAGCTGTAATAGACATTTAGGTACATACATTTACCAATTTTGGTGATAAATAGGCATTTTGTATTAGTTTTTGTATAACGCCTAAACAAAAACAAAGGGTAATATTTTGGTGTTATACATAGATTTCGAATATAAAAAACATATAATTTAACTAATTAAGACATGACAAAAAACTGAGGTATGTCTCGTTTCTGTCGGGCCTGGGTCACAGATGACCGTTCTTCTTAAAATTAATCATTTCAATTTCTGCTCGGCCGGGAATCGAACCCGGGACCTCTCGGCATAGTAGTCCGTTCCGAACCACTTCACCAAACGGCCGTCCTTTAATGTGACATTTGCATTGAATAAAATTGCAATCGATGAGTTTGTATGGTATCTTAGAACCAAATTGATTAAAACGTGGGAAGTAAATGAATCCTAAGTCGACTCAGAGAGTTGTCAGAAATCGTGACTTTGAACAGATATATGTATAATATACAGTAGGTTCTTATTATTATTCTATCGTGCAGATAACGAACCTCTATCAGACTTTACCTATACTCGTATATATGTATAGACTTTTTCAAAAATCACCTTAATTCAATCTGTATTCATCACCATCGCCATCATCATAGGTCCATCTCCACTGCATACACTAAGCCTATGCATTCCAGGGCCCCGATTGAATAAAATTTTTCAACTGCAACGCGATAGGATGCCGAACGAAAATCGATCAGATTTTTTAAAATCCGTATCGCGGTATCGTTTTGTTTGACAGCTTGTTTTAACGATGCTGTAACGTAAACGGAGCGCAACAGAGCCTTTGAGTAAGCTTTACAAATATTTGCTGTGTTTTTAGTAGGAGCGTAGAGATGAAACGCGAACGGATTGGAGCGCAATCGGGGCCCTGGCCCTGTCCAAACTGAAAATACATTGGTCCTCCTGCACGAAAGATTACCTACTTACTAACTACTTAGTAAACGTCCTAGGAGCTAAGTAGGTACACTCATTAGCAAGGCTTGTAATACCTATGATTACTGTTATTACTTAATACATAAAAATACGCATTTATTTTTAAATTATGCATTACGGGTAATGTGTTATTGTAAATAAATATCCTTCGACATTTTACACTACGCTTCTAGTCCCAAACTAAGCAAAGCTTGTACTATGGGCACTAGACAACGGATATACCTAAACATACTTAAATACTTTTTTTTTGTAAATACATACATATTATACATAGAGACCCGTCCCAGACCCGTCATAGAAATTAAAATTCATCATTTTAAGGCAGAAGCCTGGCCGGGAATCGAACCCGGGACCTCTCGGCATAGTAACTAGTCCGTTCTGAACCACTACACCAAACGGCCGACATCGAATGTATGGGGATCGAACCCGCGGCGTCTGGTACTAAGCACGCGAAACAACACCTTTTTAATATTTTCTCGTATGTTTATGAGTGATAGGGAAGAATAATCAAAAAACCTAACGCAAACTACGTTTAGGATTTTTCTATATAGGTAATTAAAGTTTCTAACAAGGTTTTAAGCATAATCGTATCGTCCAACGTATCTTGTATCGCTAAAAAGATTGTTGTTGTGATATTTCACTTACATCGCAGCAACTGGTTTCGATTATATCCAGTTTAAGAAGACAAGGTGAACAGAATCTTACAAAGATTGCAGAATCATCATCATCATCATTTCAGCCATATGACGTCCACTGCTGAACATATGATAGGCCTCCCCTAAATGCTTTCCACGTTGATCAATTGGTAGCGGCCTGCGTCCAACGCTTCCCTGCTGCCTTTACGATGTCGTCGGTCCACCTTGTAGCATTGCAGAATGATGATCTTAAAATGACGCTGGATGCGGGCGTCTTCCAACCGACTAATCTGGAAATCATTGGGAGGCCTAACGTGGACGAAAATATGATGAGAAAGAAGAAATAATATAGCTTTTTTTGTTTGGCTATATTAATCCGTAAAATATCAGTGATTCAATTTTTCTATTTTTGCACAAAAATTAATATGGAGAGCACTACAGAGCGAATCGAAAAATGTTTCATGGAAGCAACGATTGGCTCTACGATATTAAAATCCATGGGCAACATAAGAGTTTCCAGCTTATTGATAATATTTTGAGCTCGAACTGGGTATTTCTACAGAACACAGAAAAAGGTTTCTAAATCATAGGTAAGTAGGTACTTGAAACTTATTGATATATTTGATAATATCCAGCACGATTTTTTTTAAAATTAGAGTTAAGTAGGTAGGTTCCAGCACCAGCCATGAGAAATATTGAGAATTAAAATTAGAGTTCTGAAATATAAAGATAGTACCTACCTACCCTAAACTAGGGCTTGGCAACCAATTCAGCGGATCGCGACCGCGAGCTGCATGCTAAGTTCTTCAGTTTCTCCATCTAAGTAACTAAAAATATAAAATCTTCAGAACTCGACCATCAAGGACGTCTAATAAAAAAGGCAACTTTTTCTGGCTTCTTAGGAGTGCCAAAGCCATATGGAAAAAAACAACTCTTATAGAGTTTTAAAATTGGCAAAAGGAATTATTATATTTGACTCTTCCATCAAAAGATTGCCGATCTCTACTCCTAGCCATTATAAATAGTAGTAAGAATTTTTAATATTGTTTATTAATATTGACATTTTGGTATTGGTATTACACCAAACCATAAATTTCCCCGGTCTCCCCTACTATGGTTAAAACCGAAATCAATATTGAAATAAATCATAGGACTCATTTTTAAAAAGATCCCTGATGAAATTAAACGAGCTTATTCAAAAATGCCATTTATTTTTAAATAAAAAACCAATAAATACTTAAAAACACAGCAGCTATCAATAAAACGTAATCAAATATCGTTATCACAGAACTAAAAACTTTTTAACATCCTCTCTAAGGGCACAAAAGTATTAAAACACATTCGCTGAAAGCAGAATACCAAAACTTAACTATCTTAGCCTATTTTCAACCGACTTCAAAAAAGGAGGAGGTTCTCAATTCGACCCGTATGTTTTATTTTCTATGTTTGTTACGCAATAACTCCGCCAATTATGAACCGATTTGAACAAATCTTTTTTCGGCGTATAGGTAATACCTCAAGGTTGGTCCCATTTAAATTTAATAATAGAAAAAACAACCCCCAAGGGTGGAAAATTGGGGATGAACTTTTTTATACGCAATATCTCCGCCGATTATAAATCAATTTGAACGATTATTTTTTTGTTGAATAGGTATTATCAAAAGGGTGGTTTCATGCGAATTTGAAGAAAATATTTCACCCCCAAGGGAATGAACTTTTTTATACGCAATTCTCCGCCGATTATGAACCAATTTGAACGATTATTTTTTTGTTGAATAGGTATTATTTGTGTTCACGCATTTGAAGTCGGTTTTATTTTTTTTAAAAAGTTATAAAATAATGAAATTTAATATACCATCAACAAACGTTACATCCCTCATGTAGGTAAGTCGAACTCACACAGATAATCTTGGTAAGAAAAAAGTGCTTAATATTAGGGTAAACAACAGAAAATGTCATGTTTACTTATAAATAAATCGTCAATAATCGTCATAATAATAATTACTCAAGTAATAATATTAACCTTGGACATACGGAATGGAATGCTGATTCCTTTATTACAACAATAAGTAAATAAACCAGTAATATCAACAATTATCCTTAATTACTTAAATTAATTACTTATATGAAATAATACAAAATAAATCTTAACATAATTACAATAAATAATAATAATTCACTTTCTGCCAATTCAGGAAAATACTTTTAGTAGGTAATAATGTTTAATAGTTTTACTTAATATAATAACATCATCGCAATACTTATATTTATTACCATGAAAGGTATTAAACACCAATTTGCTGCCTACATAAGGTAAAGGTAGGTCTTATATCTTATGTATTAATTTAGCATAGGAAGGATGTATTTCCTACATAACAGCTTAACAATATTTTTAAGAACAATAATATTATTGTTAATATTTAATTAACAAACACTTAAAAAGTTATATTATAAATGAGATTGCATGTGATCACCAATAAAAATAATTCAAACGAACTGCTACCATCATAACTTGCTGGTTGAGATTCACTCATATGAGTACGTATGTACAGAAAATTGTGATACTAACCAGATTGTAAAGTAATTATGTGGAAAGTTAGAAATGCAAATACTTTGCAGGGTTAAATATGTCATACTTATTATTATCTATTACCAATTAATGTTATTCCCTAACTGAGTATGAAAAAGTGAAAGCAACATGCAAGCAAAATCTACATCGTATATTTAAGTACCTACTTATTACAAACCACACACTGAACATCCTGTTTATAACACTATAGCCGTGACACACATCATGAAGGTAGCAGGCATAGGGTTAAAGCTTCACATCATGATATAGACATAGACAACCAGTTTTTAACGCTAACGACGACTAATACATTAAAACATATTTTTGGTAGGTACCTAATCTTATTAGAACAAGAGGAACCAATTACTTAATTTGTACAAATTTATTTAAATTGGCAATGGCTAATGGTATGTCAATATTATCAATGATTAGGTACAATATAATTCACATACTTCCCTACCTAAGTTTTATAATAATAAATAAGTAAGTTAAACATGTACCCATTATTACCATAAAAGTTTTGGCACATGTTTATGACTACAGCATTATTAGTTTTAAAAGATGATTTAACTACTACAGGTAGTTATCTGACCCGATTTTTTCTGATCAATGCCACCATTATTTTTTTTAGACATTACTTACGTATACTTTTTAAATACAATTTTATGCAATCTTATTATAATAAGCACACAAGAAATAGTTAAGACAGTAAGTAGGATGTTTAAAACGGTTAACACCAACAGTTAATTAATATTACTGTATAATACAGTTAACTTAGTAATTATTACCTATCGTGTTTGGCATTAATATTAACCTACATAATTATCAATTTTAAACAAACATCTATCATGCAAATATTCGATCAATTCGTACATTAATTTGGATCAGTAGGTATGATGAAGCAAGAAATATTAAACTAACCTCGATATATTTAAGCTAGTTTAAAACAACGACAACAACAGATTCTATTAACAATGGCACATAACATTAAACTTACAATAAAATAGTTCAAACTTAAAATTGTAGTACTAAGAAACATAAATTGTCAGCGATCTTAGAAGTACTTACTTACAACAAAGTGTATTAGAATTGACACATCGCATTGCGCTTAGCAGATAACACAAGAGGTTGGCACAGAAACATACATTCGCAAATCAGCAAGTAGTCGTAATTAAAGATAGCTCAATTTGCAAATTATGCAATGTGATATGTCCATTCTTACCTAACGATGCAACACCAAACGTGGTAAACGCCAATACCACAAAACTTTTTTATGCCAATACCATCCTCATTCCTCAGTACCCTTACCTAAAGGTCGAATAAAATTAAAATTAAGTTTTCAATAATAAAATTAAGTAAAATTCAGTCTCTATTTTTAAACAAGAAATAACTGAACTGATCAAGATCAAAACGAAATAAATTATAATGGAACTCTAAAATTAAATTAAAATGCACAATGAGCCTGCAAAACGTCATTTTAACGTCATTCATAATTAAAATAAATTAAAATTAAACTGCGAATCATTCGTGTCATCTAAGCCGGTTGTGGACGACGCGTGTGGGTTCTCATGTGCCTGGTGATCATGTCACGGCGACATGCGGCGTATGGGCAAGCTGGACAACGGTATGGCTTCTCGCCGGTATGTGTGCGCTGGTGGGTTGCCAAATGGTCCGAGCGTGAAAATACCTGCCCACATGATGAGCACGAGTACGGCTTAACGCCACTATGAAGGCGTGCATGCCGCGTAAGCATATCTGAACGGGCGAATCTACGGCGACAAATCTCACATTCGTAAGCTCGTGCCGCCTCAGGGGTACGATTTCTATGCCGCGAAGCTACATGTTTAGCTAAACGGTCGTGGACTGTAAAAGTTTGTCCACATGTTGCGCACACGTATGATGGTTGCTGGGGTTCTTGGGATATTTGTACCGGTTCAGACTTCACGGAGAGGTCTAAAGGCAGTTCCTCCGGTGCCTTCGCGGGCTCATAATATGGAGGGTCGAGCATCAGCCAGCGAGGTGGTGGATAGTGATTATTGTTCCGCAATTGTACAGCAAGTTTATCCAACAACTGCGAAAGCCGTCGTCTTTTGTGGAGATGCCGAGGACTCTGCGGTACGGACACCTCCGCCATGCTATCCATATAGCCGCTGCTTGTCTCCCCGTGTCCTTCGACTTTGACTCGTGGAGTCCAACCTGTAAAAAAAAGTCTAAATCAATATCTTATGTAAATTTAATTATTATCTTTGGTCGTTGAATGGCACCGTGATCGATGACGAGACGTCATGTTCGTATCAAATCTCAAAATGCACACATCAATTCTGTAAGTAGGTGGCATTATCATCATGTGGATTTAATTTTGCTAACGCGTGTATTCTTTCATTGACATGACATTTTCTACGCCTTTCATGATCTTATTACGATATTATTTTTAAAATCAATATACACGATAGGCACAGCTAAGATATTATTATGCTGACTCAGTGATAGCATTAGAACAGAAAGGAGTTAATTTTTTTTCAAGTATTGACGAAGGTTTTTTAAAATTTCGTGTGCAATTGAAATAATGGCAAAGCAGGTGATGATATTTTTTGTGCCATTTTTCTTTTGCGAAAGGGTAACACACATTACCAAATATCGATAAATATTGCACCTTTGGCGCATCTGTCCTTTAACCATTACGGGCAAGTCTTATCCAATGCTTGTGATTGGTAAAATGGGGGAAGTTTTGGACCAATGAGATGTCCTCGCTATGCCACAAAGGGATCCCCTTGATTCTCCAGACAGCTATTACATGGGTAAGTACTGCTTTTGAATATTTTTTTGTTGTAGGCGAATCTGTAAGAGGCGTTACTACAAATACAATAGCAGTGCCTTACTACCTACATAAGAAGGGTCTTTGATTTCGTTTGTGATCATGAATGGACGATATTCTTTGTGCAATTTTCAATATAATATGGTAAAAAAAAAATTCACACTATTTTAAATTATAGTACATATTTTATTACCTATTTTGTGAAATTGAGAACGTATACAGTACAGAAAATTCCATATAAAAATCAACAATTTCAACGAGTTTATTACGCGTATTAAGTTTTTTGCTTTTTTACCTGCTAATCCTACAATGCAAGAAAATTACTGTTTCTAGTGAATTTCACTTTACATGTGCAACTTACATACTATAAGAAACACCATCACCATTTAAGCAACCATCGTCAGATTCAGTACAGACAGAAGGTAGCTATAGCTAGCTTAGATATTTTTATTTCTCATGGAACTCGTCGTAATAAATGCACGACTCGAGTTAGGTATATTCGTAAGTATTTTAGGTAAGCTAAGTACGTACATATTTCAAAATGTTCCCAACGCTCTGTCCTAGTGTGAAAATAAAATGCATTTATCCAATGCGTATCCAACTGCGGCGTATATCACATCACAATCACAATGTTCTTCGTATACATATAATAGTCAATCGTGGTTTTATCTACAGCATTTCTGAGATGCACTTAGTTTTTAGCACGAGAACGGAGGTGCGTGCAGTGAACGGTACGTAAGGTCGGCAGGTCGAGCGTGCGACCGTCGACCGGTCCCACCGCCCCCGCACCTTGCATGGAAACATTGGACATTCACACACGAGCCATCAGCAAGGCGGTGGCTTCGCGCAACGTGTGTCGTGTTGCGTGCGTCGCGGGCGACTGACACGCGGCGCGCCGCCCGCGACGCCCGCGCCTCCTCCGCACCTGCGCGGATGCGCTTGCGACTGCGCGTTTGCATTCCCGCGAAACATCGACCGAATGTAGAGTATTTTGAGCCCTACGATGCATGCATTGCGATGAGCAATGTAATATGTCTTTTTGATTATTAAAATAATAAATGCACTGTACAATAATATTTATATCAGATAAAAAAAAACTATCTAACGTTATATCATAAAAATAACGTTAGATAGTTTTTTTTTATCTGATAAAAATATTTTTATCTCAAGAATATTTAAAAGGTGCAATAAAATAATGTCGGTTTTAAAAGGGGAGAGTGGGGCTAAACGTCCCCGAGTTAAATAAATCCGACCTGATAAAATAAAATTATAGTAATAAAAAAAATTAAGCCTATTTTAAAAATTAATAAATGTTTATTATAAATATTGAATTGATTACGTACGGATTTCGTAAAAAATACATATTTGAAATAGTTGAGTTCTTTTATCCAGCCATAAACTGTTTTTTAAATAAGTCTAGATTTCGTCAATTAATTTATAACTAAGTTAAAGTTAAGAGACTTGTCTCGTACTTTAACTTGTGAAAGAGCTAGTTTTTGCGGGTATGTAATAGTTATGTGTTTATGACTAATAAAAAACAACTTCTGTTCTCATTAATTTGGCACCGTGATCTAAATTTTCACCCTAATATTACAATTTCTTCAAAATTTTCCTACCTAACTGCTATAATATTCATGCCCACACACATAATATTACAATTTCTTCAAATTTTCCCTACCAGCCTACCTGCCCACACACATTGACAGCATCGATGAGTCATAATAAACTTAAAATTTCCAGCGAGACTTAAGCCCTCGACTACCCACGGTGTTGTAGTCAAAAATACCAGAGTAGATTGCTGCTGCCAAAGTTGTTAATTGCACAGAACAAGTAGTACTAATTGTCCTAAAAATATACCTAATCAGAAGAAGAGCTTACTGTGTATTACTTAGAATACATAGTTACCCACTTCAGACGTCCAAAATATAATCAATAAAGACAAAAATAACCGTAATTTTAAATAACCGTCTGTCTACTTTAAAATAAGTATTTTAACATTGAACGAAATTTCAATGCCATAGTTATGATAACTAGCCTGATACGATACCTAAGTAATTAATTGACTTTTAAATCCGCGAGTTGTGAAGTTGAAAGCTGATCATGTATGAATTAGTCTAGCCTATAACTTATCAGGCCTATCTAGGCCGTTTACAGAAGCTCAAAGTTGCACAGCGTGCTATGGAGAGGGCTATGCTCGGTGTTTCTTTACGAACAGTAAGGTTCTGGAGTGGAGGCCGCGTACCGGAAATTAAGCAGCGTGTGACGTCCACCCAAAAGGTGGACAAACGACATCATAAAGGTAGCAGGAAGGCGCTGGACAGCAGGCCGCTACCAATCGATCAACATGGAAATCATTGGGGGCGGACGTCCTATTGGCTGAAATGATGATGATGATAACCTATCAACTCTACGTTAAGATTTTTTTTCTCATGTCTTATGGCTATTGGTCGAAGGATCATTTTTTTATTATCATGACTTAAAGCAAGATATCTAATAATCGTTTTTGATCTCCTTCAATCCTTTGTCTGTGTTAGGCAAGATCTTCAAAGCATAAAATAGATTACCTACCTTTGTGCTAGAGAAAATGTTTGCATAAATAAATAACGACCTATCAGTGCCATCAACATGGAAGAACTAATAATGTAAACGTTCATGAAGCCAACGTAAAGTATTAAAATGATACGAGTATTAATGAGCCACCAACTGGAACCGCAGATTAACCTACTAGCTATCAAAAAACCAACACGAAATCATATTAACTACTGTTGCCAGCACAGATTCAGACTATGTGTGTTTAATACTAAGTATTATTGTTGTCTATTACCTACGTCAATTTAAAATACCTTTTTTTTTTCAATTTATTTCGATTTTTTTCAAGTTATTTTAAAAATATTGAGACCGAGAGGCGACTCTTAACGCCAGAATAATTTTAATAACTAAATAATAAAGTTTACAGATACAAGTAAGGTAGCTAATATGCTAAAACAGTTAGGGCGGGATTTCAGCACGAGCCGAAAGCGAGGGTGTAAATGGAAGGAGAATGGAAATAATGCACATGCATTTCATGCATTGGTTATTAAGAGGATCTCTACTAGTAAACTAATAATTACTTACCTACGACTACGAACATATCATAAACCTATAATTAAACAAAATTCATTTGTGAAAGAAAATTGAGCGTAGTTTTCGTATATCGAGCCCATTTTAATTAAATATTATAGAGTTTTAGGCGTTTGTGAGTCTACGTGTGTTGTAGCGCGAAAAGTTTAACATTTAAAAACAATATTTATATAATTATAAGCATTATATTTTTCATGAATCAATAATTATTAATGATAAAACATAATATTAACCATCTTTAATTTAATTAGTAAGTGAATTTAGATAAACACTCTTGTTTTTTCATTGTGGAAATCTAAAGAAAAACTTTTCTAAGTTAACACAATTCCATTTTACCTACCTCAATAACCTAGCACTTTATAATATACCTAAATTAAGTTATTACTCGAACATACATAATATCAATTCAATACTTCAGATTAAATTAATTGCCGCTTACTTTCAGGATTATTTATTTAATTTCTACAACTTGTTAAGATAATTTAAAAACACTAAAACTTAACAAAAGTCACTGATCTCTTTATGTAAAATCCGAAAATTAGCAGAATCGGAAAATTAACATCATCACTAAAAAGCACATGATTGAAAAATAATTAATTAATTTAACTTTTCGGCAACTGAAACAAAGGCCGCGCGGTTAAATCTCTGGGCGGCCGCGTTACAATACAAAATAATGATATCCTTACCTGCCAAATCCACCGCATGCACCAAGTTCTGTTGCGAGTTCAGCAAATTGTTCAATATATTTAAATTCATTGTTTTTATTAACAATATCAACCTCACTGCACAAACTTTCGAAACAGTTACCGACTAGTAAGGAACCGGCAAAAACATTGGTAAAAAATGTGCGCGCGCTGCGTCCGGCACGGGCTCGTCACAGCGAATGAGTCCCGTTAGACTAAAATCAGTGCTAGGGTGGAAAATAATAAGTATACGTCTTATTGTTGTGTAATGAGCATTGAAGGTTAACTCCGTAAGAAGGGTCCGAGTATGGCAGATGCAGGGGTCGCGTGGGAAATGGGGGCGGCCCACAACCCCAGACAGCTGCAGCGTCTTGGCTCGGGACGTGTCCACTCCGACACCTACGTCTGATGAGGTGCTCAAGACTAGTCCCCAAACCGGCAGCGTTTGCACTGAATATTCTGTTAATTAATAAATAACTAGGTCGATGGAAGCACCATTTCCCGGGAAACAAACATAAAGTAGGAATATACGAATACAGGGTGAAAGGTCGAGATTGGTGTTTTTTTTTTTCAAAATCCATGATTCTCAGTTGAAAATAAGTTAAATTTTATCCTTAATTATTTTTAATGTGTTATGAAAATATGAATAGGTAACTCAAACATTTTTTATTATAAAAAAAAAATTAAATATCGTTGTTAAAATTATTCCAGCAATGAAAACTAGTCAGGAAAATGCACAATGCTTTACAAAGCTTCGGTTTTCAATAGCTGGAAAAGACTAAAGACTGAAGTAGGAATATCGAGTTTGGATAAATGATCTGGTTCATAATTTATTTTTCTTTGTTGCTAACTTGACCCTTACACCCCTTCCCCTTATACAAGCTTGTCGATACCTGGAATATAATCTGTTCAAAATAAGAAATAGATTTAATAAGCAAAAATATTTATTTATTAAGAAGGTGCCTTTACATTATTTTTTACTTGTGTATTTATTGTTAAGTAAGTAGGTAGGTACAAAATATTATTGTGTTAATCAATAACAAGTGTCTGGTTACTCATTTAGTTTTGAACTTGGTAATCTAACTTTTTTATTTGTTTTGTTTTACAATAAAAGTTATAACTGACATTTTTTAGTGAGTTTGGCCACAAGTTTGGCTGTCAATGGATAATTTAAAAAAGTAAATAAAAGCTTGTAATAAAAGAGCATAAAGAACATACAATATTTGCCATTTGTAATACACAAATAGGAAGGTATACTTGTGTTCGTAGTGGGCTTACCAAAAAAGTCCAGCGATCAACGGGGCTCGAACTGGGCGTTCCTCGAATCTCGACCGCGGCCAGTTCGACACCGACCGACACCATAATGAATACTAGGTACTTATAATTTATCACCGACAAGACAATATTCTTTATTTTTACATAATTTTCATATAAATGTATTTAGACAATTTCACACAGCGCCCTAGCCCCAAAGTAAGCTACTAATATGCTTGTTATTACGGGTGCTAGCTTAACGAATTTACTACTTACATACTTTTTTTAAATACATACAATATACTATACAGGGTGTTAGGTAAATGGGTATAATTATGAGCCGACACTAGCCCGTGTTAACATGGTCATATAAATGGTATGGTGAAGTCAGAAAATTGATATCTTAATTTTAATTATTTTATTTTTCATACAAATCGGATTTTATCAAATTTATTTTGTATGAAAATTAAAAAAATTAAAATGATGATATCAAATTTCTGACTTCACCATACCATTTATATGACCATGTTAGGGCTAGTGTCGGCTCATATACCCATTTACCTAACACCCTGTATATTATACATGTAACCCCCAGACCCGCCACAGAAATTAAAATTCATCATTTCATTCTGCCAGGCCGGGAAACGAACCCAAGACCTCTCAGCATAGTTGGCATAGTAGTCCGATTCGAACCAGTAAACCAAACGTCCGGCTATTATTTTATTGTATTTGGATTTTTTTATTTTCCAAAATCTTTTACTTTGTTTATTTACTTGTATTTATTTAAAACTAGCGTTTGCCCGCGGCTTCACCCGAGTGAAATTTAGTTTGT